AGCAAATCAGTGATGTATTTCTGCTGAGATATAAATATCCCTTTCTCGGAGTGGGCAACTTCAATTCCCAAAAAATATTTTAGTTTTCCTAAGGTCTTGATCTCAAATTCCTTGCCTAAGCATTGACTCAATAATTGCTGTTATTTTTATTATCTCCAGTTAATATTATGTCATCCACATACACCAATAATATTGTTACTCCCCCTGACTTGGAATGTTTAAAAAACAAAGTATGGTCCCCTTGGCTTTGTTTGTAACCCAGACCTGTCATAAATTTAGTAAACCTGCCAAACCATGCACGGGGGGACTGTTTTAACCCATATAATGCATTTTTCAACTTGCAAACAGTGTTGGCAGCAACATCTTTACCATATCCCGGAGGTATCTCCATATAAATTTCTTCTTCAAGGTCTCCATGTAGGAAAGCATTCTTAACATCAAATTGTTCCAAGTTCCAACCATAATTGGCAGCAAGGGACAATATCACCCTAACTGTGTTCATTTTGGCAACTGGAGCAAAGGTCTCCAAATAATCAACTCCATAGGTTTGGGTGAACCCTTTGGCAACTAGTCTTGCCTTATATCTCTCAATTGATCCATCAACCTTGTATTTCACTGTATAGACCCATTTACATCCAACTGACCTCTTTCCTACTAGTAAGGTGACTAACTCCCAGGTGTTGTTCTTCTCCAATGCCTCCATCTCTACATCCATGGTTTGCCTCCATTTTCTGTCAGACAATGCCTCAGATAGGGTATTAGGTAGAAGTGCAATGTTTAGGTTTACTAAGAAGGTTTTATGGGTAGGAGAGAAATTTTTAAAGGACAAGTAATTTGAGAGAGGGTAGAGTGGTTGTTTGGTGCATTTTCTTGTTCCTTTTCTAATGACAATTGGGAAGTCAGGATCATTTTGGGTTTCAATTTCAACCTGCACAGCTGGAGAAAAAATTGTTACCTCTTTTTGTGGAGTCGAGTTGGATTCTTGAACATGGCTTGATCCTGGAATGACCTTAGTCTTCCTTGAGTATACCAGCTTCTTACCAAAATTTCCAGCTTCAACATCTTCTTGATCAGCTTCACAATTAATTTCACTTTCTTGACCAACTTCCTTTTCTTGACCAATTCCTTGACTTGTTTCATTTGTTACAACTTCAATTTGATCTTCAATTTGATCTCTTTTAGGTTCAAATATCAAGTCTGGAAGAATGGGAAAACCATAATTACTACTTTCAATATGATTTCGTTTAGGTTCAAATGTCAAGTCTGGAAGAATGGGAAAACCAGAATTACTACTTTCCTTATCTTCCTTATCTTCCCTGAAACTCTCCCCCTGAAGATAAGGTTGATGGAAATAGTCCTCTTGTTCTTTGAAGGTAATATCCCTAGACACAAAGAATTTTTTGGATGGGGGGTGGTAGCATTTATACCCTTTTTGAGTGGGTGAGTAACCAACAAAGACACACTTTAAGGCTCTAGGATCAAGTTTCCCCCTGTCTGTACTATGAATATGGACATATGAGATGCACCCAAAAACTCTTGGTTTAACATTATTTGTAGTAGACAAGTTTGGATAAAAAGACGACAAAGCTTTCATAGGGCTTTTTGATCCTAAGACTCTAGAGGGTAGTCTATTGATAAGGTATGTTGTTGTAAGGACAACTTCCCCCTAGAAATTTTTTGGGACACTTTTTTGGAACAATAATGCCTGAGTCTGATTTAATAGATGTCCATTTTTCCTCTCTGCGACCCCATTCTGTTGTGGTGTTTTGACACAAGAGGACTCATGAATTATACCTTCTTTTTGACAAAAAGAATTAAGGACATGATTGAAGTAATCTTTGACATTATCTGACCTAAGCCTCTTAATATTAACACCAAACTGATTTTTTATCATGGAGTGGAAGTTTATGAAGACAGAACTGACTTCTGATTTTTGTTTAAGTAGGAAAACCCAAGTGACCCTTGTACAGTCATCTATAAAGGTAACAAACCATCGAGTACCAGACACATTTGGAATATTAGAAGGTCTTCATACATCAGTATGAACAAGATAGAAAGGGACATTGCTAATTCTATTACTTATTGGAAAAGATATACGCTTGTGCTTAGCAAGTTCACACACCTCACAATGAAGACTCTCAACATCTAACTTGGTAAACAGAGAGGGAAACATAATTTTGATCACTCCAAAAGAGGGATGTCCCAACCGACAATGATAAAGCATGATTTTTTCTCTGTTGGTCATCAAGGATTCAGATATGAAGGAGTGAGAGATTTTATTCTTGCTGGGCAAACTTGGATCTTTGAGATAATAAAAGTCATTCCATTGTCTAGCATGTCCAATCATCCTCCCTGAATCTTTGTCCTGAAATACACAATGATCGTTGAGAAAAAACAACTTTACATGACAAATTCTTTATAAGTTTTTGTATAGACATTAGGTTCGTGGACAGCTTTGGGACATGGAGAACATCTTTTAAGGTTATTAAATGATTGATTTGGATATTTCTTTGACCAGCTGCAGTTATAAGGGTTCCATCTGCTGTGGCAATTTTCTTGTTGCTGGGACATGGGGAATATGTGGAGAAGTGTTTGGCTAATGGTGTCATGTGATCTGTGGCTTCAGAGTCCAATATCCAATAATGGTTAAAAAGCGTATCTGAGACATTTAATCCAAAAGAAGGTGGAAACTTACCTAAGTATGCCAAAGAACACATACCTGTAGGTTTTTCCAGCTTACTAAGAACGGTTTTCACCCTTTCTATCTCCTCTTCCCTTGACATTATAGCAAAAAGGTGCGATGCAACAACAATGCAGGCTGTCGTCTTAGGATTAAGAAAAATGAAGTAACAATACAGGCTGTTGTCTTAGGGTTAAGAAAATTGCAGCAACAATCCAGGCTGCCGTCTTAGGGTTAAGAAATATGCAGCAGCAATGTAGGCTGCCGTCTTAGGGTTTATCGCGCGCAGACAGAGCTTCCTAGATCGGAAGCTCTGATATCATCTGGAAAATTAGATTAACTGAAATATGATTTTTATTATATCAATACAAAAAGATGATATAAGATATATACAGGAGACCTAAACTATTTTAGGAAATATAATAACTCTATTTTATGCTAGGATCTCTTGATTTATAGGATTGTTCCTAATTATTCAAATATGTAGAAATATACAAATTTCCTGATTTATTCTTTCCTAAAATACTATTTGATTTCCCACGTTTTCATATACCAATTTTGCATATTTTTCTCAAAGCTTCCTAGATCGGAAGCTCTGATATCATCTAGAAAATTAAATTAACTGAACTATGATTTTTATTATATCAATACAAAGAGATGATATAAGATATATACAGGAGACCTAAACTATTTTAGGAAATATAATAACTCTATTTTATGCTAGGATCCCTTGATTTATAGGATTGTTCCTAATTATTCAAATACGTAGAAATATACAAATTTCCTGATTTATTCTTTCCTAAAATACTATTTGATTTCTCACGTTTTCATGTACCAATTTTGCATATTTTTCTCAACCCTCTTCCTCTCTTGTTTTGAATATTGATTTTGATCTATTTTTTTCAGGCTATGGTGAACACACACATGCAACATGATAATAAAAAGGGCTCAATAGTTCAACATGATATTAGTTTAATATATAGGAATTTCTTACTATTTATATTTGAGAACATTCTAGCATTTTATCATATGTATTGAGGGTGAAAGAAGGTGTAATTATTGATTTACATAATGGTATAAATCTTTCAGAAATTAAAGCAACAGCACCTCAATCTATTTATGTAGTTTTCATGTTTCCCATTGTCTTTCATTTTTCTTTTTCTCTATATTTTACTATTTCTACTAAAAAACAATAATTTCCTTAGACCACATGCTACCTTAAAGTAAAACCTAGGAATAATTGAAGTCCTCCACGCAACCTAGTTTCCTCGTTGCCAATCACAATGATAAGATATTATCTTACACTACCATTTCTCCATCACTACATCTAAAAACTTAATACAAAAGTGAATACAAAACTACATATATACTTGTATTAGATAAATCAATTTTTTATTATCTAAAAATATATATTAAGTAAATATAATATATTAAGTAAACATATTATATTTATTAAATATATAAGTATATTTTCGATATTAAGCTGCATATCATATAATATATATATATATATATATATATATATATATATATATATATGTATATACGCATATATTATGTTTAGTTTAAAATATGTTTCTAAACTTAAATAAAAAAATTGGAAAAGACAGGATTTCCATTCTCTCTTCATCATGGATATTAATTGATCCATGTCCCCTTCCGAGTTTTTGTTAATGTCTTTAGATAAAGTGATTTTAAACTCTGTAAAGGGAACCAATTTGTGGCTACTAATTAATATCAATATTCAGAAGAGAGTTGTGAGAAATCATGAGTGAAATTATATATACAACATAAATAATTGACCTCAAACTTCATGTTTGCATGAGTTATCACACTTCATGAGTGCTTTCTTAATCATATAAAATCGTGTTCTTCCTTTATTAAATTTTCTTCTCAACTACTACACTGCAAATTAAAGTAATGCACTAAAAACCTAACTTTTTCAACCGATGGTGAGTGTATATTAAATTATTTAATATTTATTTTCTTTCATTCACTATTATTTCCAATACGCGTCAAATAACTATGTAATGGGACTATAATTAGGATATATATATATATATATATATATATATATATATATATATATATATATATATATATATATATATATGTGTATATGTATATGTATATGCTTCTTCTTTTTTATTAGAGATGATGGTAATCATCAAGTGAGATAGTTTGATGCATGAAACAATCATGAACCGCCAAATATAATTTAAACGATTAAAGTTAATTTGATTTGATTTAAGTATGTGTAGGTTGAAATTGAATGAAATAATCTTTATAGAAAAAAAAATCTAAATTCAAAAATGATGACTTAGACAAACCCTTTTAGATTTTGTGGGGTGGTGGGTTGGTGAATGGTTTTGACAGTAACAGTATTGGATGATGCATTACTGGTGGTGGTGGTGGAATTGGTGGCAACAAGTTCACAGGAAGGACACATGGTCAAGGTTGTTGGTGGTGAGTGCATGCAGAATGGGTTTAAAGTCTTCAAAACCCTCAACTCTTGAAGCTCCTTCTCAAGCCTTCTGTTCTCTTCTCTCAGTGTCTCACAACACCTCTTCATGTACTCACACTCCACCTCTGTCTGCTTCAACTTGCTCCTGCATGCATGCATCCACCCATCCAATCCATCACTAACACAAAAAACATGCACAACATTAATCTGTGAAATGGGAAAAACACAACACAATACCTTGCTCTTCTGTTCTGGAACCATACTTCTACTTGGCGTGGACGAAGATCGAGCTGTTTCGCAAGAGCCAGCTTTTGCTTCTACACAGTAAACACAAATTTCGTGACTAAAATATGAACTAAAACAAACTTTGGAGTTTTTATTTTTGTGAAGACTAACAGGGTTCAGAGTGTTGTGCTCTTTGAAACTCTCTTCAAGGAAACCAGATTGTTCCTTTGAGAGTCTCAGCTTCTTCCTTGCGCTGCCATCGTCACAGTCACCACCACCATCACCATTGTTATCCTCGTCGCTTCCTTTAGAATAAGCCATTTGCCTTTCATCACCATCCTCACCACTCACACTTCTTCCTCTATTGAATATGCAGAGATCCAACTGAAACCATGCTGCTGCACTGTTTGAAGACGGTGACACCGCTGCTGCTTCCTCCAGATCTGTTGTCATTGCCACCGTCACCGCCACTTCCGCCGGCACCGTGTTCACGTCAATTCCCCTTAAACTTCTTCCAGCTGCACCATTATTTATGTTGTTCATCATGGAAATAAAAAGAAAACTAGAAAAATAACATCTTGGACAAAATTTTACATGCAGTTTCACAGGGAATTTTGATATCATTAGTTAAATTAAAATCTATTTTTTTTTTGTCACTAACCTAACTTACTGAAATAAATTAGAAGAAGTTTACATATCATTTGAGAGAGAAGACTCCAACAGTAACATCATAAAGCTTCTAACGGAGTTAAATCCCTCAGCTTCATATATATTACTTACAAAGATTTAAGTAAGTTTTATTCAAATACTAATACTAAGAAAAACGAATGCGTCAAGAGTGGTTCTTACCATCTTCTGAAAGATGATCCCACGAAAAGATGTTGGAAGGTGGGTTCATAGGAGCCACAGCAGGTGTAGTATGAGGAAGAAGATCAAGCTGAAAAACTGTGTTATCAAGGTCTTTGGGAAAAGTACTAGTAAGGTTAAGGGATTCGTCTCTAGTTTCTTCATGGTCTTGTTCTGTAGCGCTGTGAGTGTGACTCTTGTGGTTTTGGTTTGGTGATTCTTCTTCTTGTTGGTGTTGATCTATTTGTTTGGTAATAACTGGCCCAATTGATAAGGTGGTGTTGAAGCCTAACCCCAGTTGGTTGGAACCTTCACAAGGCTTTTCCTTTAACCTTGAAGTGTCTCCTAAGCTCAAACCAAGCTCCATGGTCTTGAGTTACCTTTCCAATGCATAGGCAAGAAGGAAGAGAGAAAGAGGTGTAGAAAGGGGTTTGGATTAGAGTGAAGAATATTATATTGGAGGAGCCTTTGAATGAAAAGTGTAATACAATTATGGATGTATAGGTAAGTTTGGTTTAATTAGCATGATGGTGGGAAGGGAATTAACAGCCACATGTCTCCTTATGTGTTACTTTTTTCCTTGTCCCTCAAATTGAAAACAATGACATTTTACTAAATATGTTAGGACATTTTGAAATATTGTTGGATTGACTTTATAAAACGTTAAACCGATAAGATAAGGTATTATCAAAGCCACATTTTTTACTTAGACATTATGTATTCCAAAAGGTTATATTGTTTAATAGGAAAAATGTGATTTTTAAAAGAAAACAAGAATTGAAGTTGAAGGTGATTAAAATAGAAAGATGTCGTGCAAGAAATGGTGTTTGACCCACAAGGATGGCCAAGATTGAGAAACATGGTTTGCTGGTATATATGACTCATTTCATAGGAGTAGATAGGAATAAATATTAATTAGTTTAATAGTTTTATGGATAGTTGAGTGGATAGGATCGACAACATTCTTCCTCCTAAGATTATGTTTGGCACCATCAACTTAGGTCCCACCCCACATGTTTGTAATCACTTCATTATTTCTTTTTTCTTTAAAACCATTTTCATTTTTATGAGAACCAATTCAATAAAATTAAATGTTAAGTGATTTTTTACTCTTAAAAAAAACATGTTTTTCTTATCTACATCGGAGCATGCGTTCCTATATCCATTATTCATGTGCAAACAATTGAAATGATATTACTTTTTACATCACACATATAATGGAAACATATTATGAACCATTGAGTTGCGTGTAAAAAAGCATATAAAGTGTCAATTGCACGAGACATGGTTTAATATATCACTCTCCACATTCACTATATGGTGCCCCACCTTTCAATTTTTTGCACAAACAACCTCATTATATTGAATTATTGATGTCTCTTTTCAATCTTTGACCAAAAACTCCACTATCCAATATCATGAACACTATATTCTCCTTCAATCATCATCGTAACATGTTCCGATACTCTACTCTAAGATAACTCTCAAGATGTGTGAGAAAATGGAAAGATATTATAATCTCACTAGTACAGAAATCACTTTTAACATCAGTTTTTCTACATCGGTTCTTTAAGAACCGATGTAGAAAGTAAATTCAAGACTTTCAACATCGGTTCCCAGACGAACCGATGTAAAAAGTCTTTTTATAAAATTAAAAGAATTATCATTGGCAAGATTCAAACACAGCACCTTAGAGTCGAAGGCTAATACTTCAACCACTAATGCTACAGAATTTTTCGATAATAACTTATACATAAATTATATTTATATACAAATAAAAATGTATATCCATGTAAATATATAAATATAAAATATATAAATACAAATACAAATATATTTATATGTTGGATGTGAGAGCGCGCTCGAGAGTGAAAGTGTGTGTCAAGTGGGTTTTCAAAATTTGATGTCAAATTTGTGAGCAAGTATCTTTATATGAATTTGTAATTTAATGATAGAATATAATCTTTATAATTTATTTATAATAATATAGAATATAATCTTTATAATTAATTTATATAATGATATAAAATAAAGAAAAAAAATTATTTTATATCATTATATAAATAAATTATAAAGATTATATTTTGTCATTAAGTTATAATCCATATAAAGAGACCCGCTCACAAATTTGACATCAAATTTTGAAAATTCACTCGACACACACTTTCATCCTCAAGCGCGTCCTCACATCCAACATATAAATATATAAATATATTTGTATTTGTATTTATATATTTTATATTTATATATTTACATGGATATACATTTTTATTTGTATATAAATATAATTTATGTATAAGTTATTATCGAAAAATCCTGGTAGCTTAGTGGTTGGAGTATCGGCCTCCAACTCTAAGGTACTGGGTTCGAATCAATATAAATAGTAAAAATATAATATAAAAGGGAGAGGATGGTAGAGGAGATAGATAGGGTAATTAGAGAGGGTTATGAATAAATAAAATAAATAAAAATATTAGACTTTCTACATCGGTTCCTTACTACCGATGTGGAAAGTCACACTTTCTACATCGGTCGTATCTACATCGGTTCTAGAACCGATGTTAAAAGCCTATTTTGTACTAGTGTCTTCTTGTAATATATGATTTTTTACATTACTTTAACCATATTTTCCACAGTGAAAATATGATTGCAAAATTTGTATTTCTTTTTCAAAATATCACTTCAAGAATCCCACCATTTTTAAATGATTATCTCTAATTTCTCACAAAATAAATAGACACACTTTTTTTTTTTTCATTCTATTTCATGTAAAATGAGATAAGTAAAATAATTGTTGTTCTGGGCCGTTGGAAGGAGAGTCCAATAGTCCAAAAGCATTGTTTGGGAGCCCAAGCCCAGTGTTTTTAGGGTTGAATAATGCAGCGCGGGGCGTTGAGAGGTTTATATAGAATGACAGTGTTTGCCAAACTCACGTTCATCATTCATTCTCTTCCTCTCTGTCTCTCTGTAGAGCCGCAGGTATGTGAACGACCATTTCCTGTTATGTATTCTCTTAAAATGGATCTGTTTTTCTTTTTCATTTTACATGAATTAAAGCATATGTTTGTAGTTAATAAACAGTTGATTTTGGAAGCGATGTCGCACCGGAAGTTCGAGCACCCGAGGCACGGTTCCCTTGGATTTCTCCCAAGGAAGCGAGCTTCTCGTCATCGTGGAAAGGGTGACCTACTTTATATTTTTCGTTAATTTTTTTGTTTTTTGCTGTTCTTCACTTTATATTTAATTGATGGTACAAAGAATTTTTCAGGTCTGAATTAACCACAACTGTTTGAAACTAATATTTTGGTTGTAAAGGAGTTTTTATTCTATGCTTGGAGAAATAGTTTATTGCCATTTCCTTGTCACGCGTGAACGAAAATGCTTCCTTAAAAAAGTGATTAATCAAGGCTGGAGTCTCAGAAACGGCTCTTCTTGCCAAATTCCTGTCTAAGGGTTTGGGATGGAAAACTAATGAGCTCGAGAATTGGCATGCATTTTGCCATAGGCCTTTGGTTTGGAAGTATTTCTTTATCGCCGTAGGGATTTGGTGATACTCTGAATCAAGCAATTAAACTGTTTTTTCTATTCGACTTATTGAATTATGTAATAGGATAGGAGTGTGTTTTTCGTATACTATTAGCGGTTGCGCGTTTACAACATTCATTTTAGCCTGGTATTTGAGATATCACAGTGGAAATCCAAACTTTGTGTTAGTATTGCAACTATTTATGATTTTATTCCTTTGGGAAAATGGCTTTGCAATTCATATATGTTTGCTTAGGTTTGGGTTTGTTAATTTCGTTTAGACGTATTCCTTACCATGTAATTCGATAAATCCAACATTAATTATATTTGTTTGTTTTATTCGTTATTAAGAATTTGTAGGACTAATTGAACTTCACTATTAATAATTAATGTTAGACAATGAATCACGTCTCTAAAATACACTGTTGTTTGTCTTCTACATCTGTTCAAGGTAATGACTTGTATACGTTCTAACTGATAAAAAGATGTTGTCTGTTTCCTCTATATTTCATGAAATTAGCTATGCCAATATGTTGTGATTGATAATTCTTGTGACATGCCTTGTAATTTGCTACTGCAGTGAAGGCTTTCCCAAAAGACAATCCTAGTCAACCATGCAGGTTGACTGCCTTTGTGGGTTATAAGTCTGGAATGACCCACATTGTTAGAGAGGTTGAGAAACCTGGATCAAGTAAGCATATTTTTTGTCTATTCGCTGAAGATGGGAAGTTACAATTGTTTTAGTATTGAATTGTTTAACAAATGTGCTAGTAGAATTCTATGAACGGATTTAACTCAAACGTTGATATTCATTCTCTAATTTATATTGTGTAGTTTGCTTTCATGTATGTAAATGTTTTCTGTTGTAATCTTTTTTCATTACTCATTACCATGGAAATCATATATTTCACATTATTGTTTTAGTTTCATTGTGAAGATATTACCTATTCATTGAAAGGTATTTAACTTGTACTTATTTTTTTGTGATAAACAAAGTGAAACAGACCACCCTCTAATGTTGTTTCTTTTGTTTTTCTCTATATGTAATATAGATTTTAATCATTCACATTAATCTATTAACTTATCAACCAATTAATTACATGTATCTGTTGTGGATGTCTTTTATATTACAGCTGTTCTTAATTGCTGATTTTGCATACTTTTTAATATCAGTACATCTCTGGGTGTTTTTTTTAACTAATATGCCTTTATGTTTCTTGTTGCCCTTGTACCTGATGACATTTTTTCTGTTGTAGAACTTCATAAGAAAGAGACATGTGAAGCTGTCACTATCATTGAAACACCTCCATTGGTTGTTGTTGGAGTGGTGGGATATGTAAAGACACCTCGTGGCTTTCGTACACTCAATACTATTTGGGCTCAGCATCTAAGTGAAGAAGTCAAGAGACGATTTTACAAGAACTGGTGCAAATCCAAAAAGAAGGCTTTTACCAAATATACAAAAAAATATGAAACTGATGAAGGAAAGGAAAATATTAAATGTCAACTTGAGAAATTGAAGAAGTATTCAACTGTCATTCGTGTTCTCGCTCATACTCAGGTAAATGTAGAGTCTGTATTGGATTTTATGTACTAAGTCTGTATATTAAATTCGGTTGACTGTTTGTTAGTTTTTTGTTGTTATAATGTGTCAGTTGTATCTAATTTGTTACAGAATGTTATTGTATTAACATATTTCATATCTAATCTGATTATTGTTGAAATGTAATGATTTTTCTTTTTTACTATAGATAAGGAAGTTGAAAGGTCTGAAACAGAAGAAAGCACATTTGATGGAGATCCAAGTTAATGGTGGAACAGTAGAACAGAAGGTGGACTACGCATATAGCTTCTTTGAAAAGCAAATCCCAGTGGATGCTGTTTTCCAAAAAGATGAGATGATTGACATCATTGGTGTGACAAAGGGTAAGGGTTATGAAGGTGTTGTAACTCGTTGGGGTGTTACTCGACTCCCTCGCAAGACTCACAGAGGTCTAAGGAAGGTTGCTTGTATTGGTGCCTGGCATCCTGCTCGTGTTTCTTTCACTGTTGCCAGGGCTGGTCAGAATGGTTATCATCATCGAACGGAGTTGAATAAAAAGATCTACAAAGTTGCGAAGACCGGTCAAGAGTCACATACTGCCATCACCGAATTTGACAGGTACTTCAATGCTCCTTCGTTATCTTTGTTTGTATTTTGCGATTTGGGCTCCTTGAAATAATGGAGAGATTTCACTACTGTGCATGCTGTTTAAGATAATGAATTGCTTGAATTGGTGATTTTTCTATGGAAAGGACTGCTGTTTGTAATTTTTATTGCTATTTGATTTATCTGGTTATTGAGTAATTCATTGTTGCTATTAACTTTACTAATAATGACAGGACTGAGAAGGATATTACTCCTATGGGTGGATTCCCACATTATGGAGTGGTGAAGGATGATTACATTATGGTGAAGGGATGCTGTGTTGGGCCCAAGAAGAGGGTTCTCACTCTTCGTCAGTCACTTCTCAAGCAGACATCTCGAGTGGCTCTTGAAGAGATCAAACTGAAGTTCATTGACACCTCATCCAAGTTTGGACATGGCCGCTTCCAGACCACTCAGGAGAAACAAAAGTTTTATGGTCGATTGAAGGCATAAAACCTTTATTTTACTACGATCATCTTGTCATCAATTTTTGCAGCAAAACGAAACATTTAGTGGTTTTCTTATTTTAGAGTCAGACTATGGTTACTATACATTTCCTTTTTTATTATGTGACAAGCTGAAAATTTCTATTTGGGTAAGATGTGTACAACTACCTATTGATTAGAATTCGGTTAAGCAGTTTTGTCCTTCCTATAAATTCAGTTTCAACTCTTATACTCTCGGGCAATTCAACCAATACTAGGACGTGTAAGTACGGGTGTATTTTTATTAAACAACCAAATCATTGAAAATTAGCTTGACGATAAATTTCATTTGATATTTTTCTTGTCATTCTTTCTATTTTCTTATCAAAGCATTTTCGAACTAGATTTAAATTGTAAAGTAGTTTCGGAATTGTTTTGCATCTTAGAATTAGTCTTAAAACCGAAACCAATAAGTAGGTAATTAAATTTATGGTCTATGTTGAATTTCAAATATCGTGGTATAGTCTAATATTTGTTAATTTTTAGTTCAACATAAACATATATATTTTATAAAAATGTCTTGATTAGCCAAAAAAAAAAGGTTTTTCTCCATAATCCCGAGAGACAGCATGCTCAATTCAATGCCCCTAAACATTCTATTTATACTAATATTTAAAAAGAATATCAGTTTCAATAACAAGTAAATATGTTACACACATAAATTGAACTAGGCATGGCGGACGGGGCGGGTTTTACCTCCCCATATTAAGTCTTCATTCCCGTCCTTGTTAGGTTTTGGGTTCTTCGTTCTCGATCTATATTATTTTTAAAGAGATAATTACATTTATAATAAATTAATTTTATTATATATTTTTTATATATAAATAAATATTTATAATTTTATAATTTATAATTATTATTAATTAAATATATATTTTAATTTATTATATTTATATTAAAATATATATGTAAAAAAATATTTAATTATTTTTTATTTATATATATATAGAGAGAATATTTATAATATTATTATTATTATACTATTCAAATATTTGAATATGATGTGGACATAAAGGCTCAAACCCATAACGAGAAGGATCAAGACCAAGATCCAATCCAAGACTTAGGTGGACCTATGACAATGGGAATTTGAACCCAAGACCCAAAGCTTATAATGCTTTCACTTAACCATCTGGGTAACTTAACTTTGCTTGGGATATTAGGATTTTAATTTATCTTTTTTTCCTGCAATGAGACAAACTCATAAACTTAAGTTGTATTAAACATTTGGGAATTCAGAATAAACGTATGTATTCAGAATCACTTTGTGAGTTGTTGCTCTGCTAGGGTTCTTCCTTGCATCATTTGATCTTATCAAGAATTATCCAATTCTTGTGGCGATCCTTCTTGACTTATCAAATATTCTTATTTGTGGTGCCTACGGAATCTTTTATTTTTTCTGTTTTCTATTTCCAATCAAATCAATTCTTAAAACATAACCCTAAATTGTTTCCCTTCTATTCGAGTGTCGTCATTTGGTATTCAGAGCAGGGTTCAAAAGCGGTACTGTTCATCGCATTGTTCATCGACACTATTCAGGGGATACTGTTCATTGTCACTGTTCACGATATTGTTCATTGTCACTCGTTCACGTCATCGTTCATTATACTCGTTCACGTGTACTTGTTCAAAAAAATTGTTGTTTATGCAATTTTGATATTGAATTTCATTTATATATATATATATATATATATATATATATATATATATATATATATATATATCAAAGTTGTGTTTGAAATTAGTTTTCTCGAGAAAAGAACAAAAAAAAGGAAAAGAATAAAAATGAAAAGAATAAAAAAAGAAAAGAATCAAAAAAGGAAAAGAATCAAAAGAAAAAAGAATCAAAAGAAGAAAAGGATCAGAAAAAAATTATATATATATATATATATATATATATGTGTGTGTGTGTGTGTGTGTGTGTGTGTGTGTGACAGTTGTTCTTTTTTTAAATTTCAGTGCACATTAGCAGTTTGATAAATCCTAAGTGTCACGCGTCTTTGTTTAATCTTTGTTTTTCCATAGTTTAAATTTGTCTTGTTTGTTATTAGTAGTAAAATTGTTCTTTGCTACTTGTCATTTGTTGATACTACAATTCTGTTTTATTCCTTGTGATTGCTACAGTTGAAAGTGATTCTTGAACTATAGATTGTTTGATTCTTGTAAGAACCATAAGTCAGAGAACGAGTGAAAAAAGACAAGAGTGCATATTATACAAAAGTCAAATTGAGAGTAAACACGAGTGATACATCTTTGAGTGCAAACACGTGAGAAGAGTGGTGAGGTCCTATTACTTCATTTGTTTGGTCCTTTTTTTTTTTTTACTTGAAAGATGGCAGATGCAGGTGGTGGTACCCCTCCTTTAGGGGGTGACAATAGATTATTGATTTTTGCCTTTACAGCCCAAATGCAAAGAATGTTGACAGAACATACCGAGAAGTTGTATGGGAGAATTGAACAACTAGAAAATCAAGGAAATGATGATGATGGTGGAGGTAGAAGGAGGAGAAGGAGAAATAATGAAGGTGATGTTATAGATAACAGAATTGAAGGATTAAAGTTGAACATACCCTCTTTTCAAGGAAAGAGTGATCCAGAAGCATATTTGGAGTGAGAAATAAAAATTGAGCAACTGTTTGCATGCCATAATTACATAGAAGATAAAAAGATGAGGGTGGCAACCATGGAATTCACTTATTATGCTCTTATTTGGTGGAACCAATTACAAAGGGAAAGGGTGAGATATGAAGAACCCTTGGTGGAAAGTTGGGAAGAAATGAAGAGGTTGATGAGAAGAAGATTTGTTCCTTCTCATTATCAAAGAGATCTTCACAACAAGCTCCAAAGACTCATACAAGGTAGTAGATGTGTTGATGAATATTACAAAGAGATGGAGGTTTTCATGATTAGGGCTAATGTTATGGAGGCACGGGAGGCTACTATGGCCCGATTCCTACATGGGCTAAATAGTGATATAAGGGATGTTGTGGAGCTGCAAAATTATGTTGAGTTGGAGGATTTAGTACATCAAGCTTCTAAGGTGGAACAACAATTGAAGAGAAAGGGTGCTATGAGGAGGATTTCATCTAATTTTCACTCTCCTAGTTGGAAGGACAAAAATAAGAAGGATGGTGGATCATCAACAAACAATCCCAATGTTATAGATCATAGAAATCAAAATAAGTCTGATGAGGCACTTAAGAAAACAAGGAGTAGTGAGGTTAAGTGTTTCAAATGTTTGGGAAGAGGTCACATAGCTTTTCAATGTCCAACTAAGAAGACTATGTTACTTAAGGAGGATGGAGAAATAATTAGTGAATCTTCTTCAGATTCTCCATCTAGTGATGAAAATGAGCATGAAGATGAAAGAGAGTTAGAAAGAGATTTGTTCATGATTAGAAGGATGTTGGGTAGTCAATCAGTTGAATTTGATGATTGTCAAAGAGAAAATATTTTTCATGCAAGGTGCCTCATTCAAGGGAAGTTGTGCTCTTTAATCATTGATGGTGGGAGTTGCACTAACGTGGCTAGTGCACGATTGGTTTCAAAAATGAATTTGGAGACTAAGCCACACCCGCGACCTTACAAACTTCAATGACTTAGTGAAGATGGTGAGATGACCGTGAATACGCAAGTTGAAGTGGGTTTTTCAATATGAAAATATGAAGATTCTGTTTTGTGTGATGTGGTGCCTATGGAGACTTGTCATTTACTTCTTGGGAGACCATGACAGTATGATAGGAGAGTTATGCATGATGGTTTCACTAATAAGTTCTCTTTTATGCATAAAGACCGCAAAACTACTCTTGCACCTTTGGTTCCAAGAGAAGTTAGTGAGGATCAACTGAAAATGAGAAAGAAAAGAAAAGAAGAAAGAAAAGAAAAAGAGAGAGAAAAGAGAAAAGAAAAAGAGAGTGAAAAGAAAAAGGAAAAAGAGGAAGAAAAAGAGAAAGAGAGAAAAAAATCAAATCTATTTATAAAAGAAAAAGAAGTAAAAAGAGTTATGTAATTGAGAAAACCAATACTTTTACTTTTGAGTAAAGAAAGTAAATCAAACCGTTCATGTTTTGCTAACTCTCTTCCAAAAGAGGTTTCTTCTTTGTTGCAGGATTTTGAAGATATTTTTCCCAAAGAAGTGCCTATAGGTCTACCCCCTCTTAGGGGTATTGAGCATCAAATTGACCTTATTCCAGGAGCTTCATTGCCTAATAGACCAGCTTATCGAAGCAATCCCCAAGAAACCAAGGAGATTCTAAAGCAAGTTGAAGACTTAATGCAAAAGAGGTGGGTTAAAGAAAACTTGAGTCCATGTGCAGTCTCAGTCATTCTAGTCCCTAAGAAAGATGGAACTTGGAGGATGTGCACAAATTGTAGATCTATCAATAACATCACGCATAAGGAAGCACAGGCTAAAACAGAATATGTGAAGAAGTTGCATGAGCAAGTAAAAGCTCAAATTGAAAAGAAGAATGAGAGCTACGCAAGGCAAGCTAACAAGGGTAGGAAAAAGGTGGTATTCCAACCTAGTGATTGGGTTTGGGTACACATGAGAAAGGAAAGGTTTCCTGAACAAAGAAAGTCTAAACTTCAACCTAGAGGAGATAGGTCATTCCAAGTCTTAGAGAAGATCAATGATAATGCTTATAAGATTGATCTACCAGGAGAGTATAATGTAAGTTCTTCTTTTAATGTTGCTGACTTGACTCCTTTTGATGCAGGAGATGAATTCATATATTTAAGGACAAATGCTGCCCAAGAAGGAGGGAATGATGTGGACATAAAGGCCCAAGCCCATAACGAGAAGGATCAAGACCAAGATCCAATCCAAGACTTAGGTGAACCTATGACAAGAGGCAGACTTAGGAGGGAATGATGTGGACATAAAGGCCCAAGCCCATAACGAGAAGGATCAAGACCAAGATCCAATCCAAGACTTAGGTGGACCTATGACAAGAGACAGACTTAGAAAAACACAAGAGGCATTGCAATACAAAGTGACCAATTTGCTAAAGGCCCAACTATTAAAAGATCTAAACATGGAGGAGTCTAAACCTATCACATGCATAGAATGTTTGGAGAGCTAGGAGGCCCAACTAAAAGATTTAGTTTTTATTATTATTATTATTTTATTTGCTACAGTGGGGATTTGAACCCAAGACCCAAAGCTTATAATGCCTTCACTGAACCATCTGGGTAACTAACTTTGCTTGGGATATTAGGATTTTAATTTATCTTTATTTCCTGCAATGAGACAAACTCATAAACTTAAGTTGAATTAAACATTTGAGAATTCAGAATGAACGTACGTAATATTCAGAATCACTTTGTAAGTTGTTGCTCTGCTAGAGTTCTTCCTTGCATCATTTGATCTTATCAAGAATTATCCAATTCTTGTGGCGATCCTTCTTGGCTTATCAAATATTCTTATTTGTGGCGCCTACGGTATCTTTTATTTTTTCTGTTTTCTATTTCCAATCAAATCAATTCTTAAAACCTAACCCTAAATTGTTTCCCTTCTATTCGAGTGTCGTGAGAATACTTATAACATTATTATTATAATATCGCATTCAAACATTTACTTATATATATATAAGTTAATTTATTTTTAAGTTATCATTTAAAAATATAAAATATATAGTTTATAAGAAAATATTTAATAAGTTAATTCTTATTTAATTAGTTCAAAGTAATAAAAGTTTAAATTATCAATTTCTTTTAATTATTTAAAATATAATTATTTTATTAAGATAAAATTTGATATATGATAAATAAGAATAATATGATAAAAAAATATGACATAATAAAACCTAATAAATATAAATTATAAATAAAATAATATTAGTTACTACTAGGATTTATGTAAAATATTTAGAAAAAGATAAAAGAGAATTTTTTTTTACTTTGTGTTCATTAAATTGATTGAAAAGATTAAAAAAATAAATAAATTGATGGAATAAATTAAGGAAATGTAAAAAACAAAAAAGTAAGAGAGAGAATACTGTAATAAATTAATTGATATAAAAGATTAAAAAAGAAAAAAATAATTAAAAGTGGGTAGAAGAAAAATAAAAATTGGTGAAATATTAAAAAAATAACCTTATATGTAATAGGAAAAAAAATACATTTTAAGTATTAATAATTTTAAATTTTAAATTTAAATATAAAGTCGGCAGCGAGGACGAGGTCGAGGTGGAGATTGCATTACCCATCTCCGTGCCCGTCCCGCCCCAGTCCCCGCCCGACTTTTTAAAGCGGGAAAACCCGAATCCACCCCTGTCAACTCGGGTTTCTCACGTCAAACTTGGGGAAGGGACGGATCGATCTCAACGGGTACGAGTTTAATTTATGTCCCTAAATTGAACAATTCTACTTTTATTATTTTGATAATTTTTTTTTATTATCTTATATAAATAGGCACATATACTAATGAGCAAGGGTTATAATTTAAGACTGAACCTTGACCTCCCAATGCTAAATCCCTTTTGTGTTATTGGATTGTCTCATTGTTTCTTTTGCTTGTGAAGGATTGACACTCTGACCATACTCACAATTATTTAATCCTTCATGATCATTAGTTTGGTAATTGATGCAATTAGGTTGAAAACTTATATCAACAACTTAGTTTTTCTCTTCAAACAAATATTATTAGGATTTGTGGGAGACATTAGGAATAAATGATGTTTTTCATGTCTCAAATTTATGATTTTGATAGTTATCCTCATTAATGACTCAAATTTATTTAGTTGATCATAAATATCTGGGAATATCCAATATGGCAGTTTACTATAATTTTTAATTGTTCATCACATTAAATGATTTCAAAAACTTTTATTCACCGTAAAAATATATTTTAATTTGAGAAATTCAAATTCCTAGTTTGTCCAAAACATAGTTAAAAGTATTTCAATATAACATTATTTCCCCCAAATATTATTTATAAAATAAATCTAAAACCTCCTGGTTTTGTCTTTCTACGATCTGTAGTTTTTAGTTCACAAAAAACCACATAGTATGATATACAAACGGATTCGTTTGCAATTAGGCGATCATTTTTAATTTGAATTCTATATATATATATATATATATATATATATATATATATATATATATATATATCAAATTGACATTTTTATTATTAATTGTTATTTTCATGACTTATTATTAAATAAAAATAAGTTTGTATATAATAATTTATGATGGATTATACTATAGAAGCCTTTTATACCATCACCACATTTTTTTTTATAAAAAGTTTATATTTTATAATATTTATGTAAAAATAAATTTTACCTTCGCAAGCATTCGTATTAGCATTCGCGGGTCATTCATTTGAGACTCCACGCTTCTCACAGTTGGGTTTTCGCTCTTCTTCTTCTGCCCTCTGCAGTGATTCTTCTCAAGGTTTGATTGTTACTGTTACTGTTTGCACATAACCTGTTTGACAAATTCACATTCATTTACTTTACTTGAACGTTTCATATTCATTCATTTTATCGTAATTGTTATCCATCCAGATATAAGCAAGGGTCATTCGATTCCATGACGACTCGAATTGCCCCCGGTGTGGGAGCCAATTTGCTCGGCCAACACGCAGCTGAGAGGAATCAAGACGCCACTGCTTATGTCGGCAATCTCGACCCTCAGGTAACTAGCTTTCCCTTTCCCTGCTTGCTTTCTTCACACACTTAACCAATTACCACTTCTTCTAGGGTTTATACTTTTCATCTTTGTGCTCCAGATTAGCGAGGAGTTATTGTGGGAGTTGTTCGTTCAGGCGGGTCCAGTGGGTATGTTATATTGTTATGATTTGTTCGTTTTCTTAGTTTTAGGTTTAAACATACTCACCCTTCTTTCGTTTGTTTCAGTTAATGTCTACGTTCCGAAGGACAGAGTGACCAACCAACATCAGGGTTATGGATTTGTTGAATTCCGGAGTGAAGAAGATGCTGACTATGTAAGTATTATATCTTTTCGAACTAGCTTATCCAGACCTAACTAACTTCTTTTTGCTAACTTTTTCCCTTTTGCTCGCAGGCCATCAAGGTTCTAAACATGATTAAGCTTTATGGGAAACCGATCCGTGTGAATAAGGTATTTAGTTGAAGCTTATACTGTCACTTTTGCTCTCATTTCTTTGTATGTGGTGTTTAAGTATGATAATGTTTGTGTAGGAATGCTTATACCAACATTCCTGTTTGGTTCCCCTCTAAATTTATGTTGTGGTTTATTCCATTCTCATATGTTTGGCATGTGTGATGGAAATTATTAAGATAACTAATGAAACGAAGTCATCATTAATTGATTCATGATTGCTGTGAGTTTCCTTGACCTCTACTTCTGGAGGGGTGTTACTTCTCTTGTTTCTCAAGACTCTAGGCTTATAGCCTTGAAATGGATACTCTTTCTCTGCCTTTTTTCTTGAACTACACATACTTGTTCCACCTAAGGAATGTGAGAATGATATTGTATTTTCCCAACCCTTATTGCAATTCCAAGATGTCATTCTTATAATTGAATCTCTCTTATTTTTTAGGTACTGATTAATCTTTCTTCGCTATATTCTGTTTGTACAAACTTTGTTTTACTGTGATCATCTCTTGCTATATTTTTGACCTGCATCAACATCGATGTCATCAACATCGATGTCATGTCACTTGATTAAAGAATACATTTAGTTTCCAGGCTACTTGATTGATTTTCAATTATTTTGGTTCCAGGCATCTCAAGATAAAAAGAGCTTGGATGTTGGTGCAAACCTTTTCATCGGCAATCTTGATCCTGTAAATCACCAAATTATGCAAGTGTTACACACTCATGCAGTTATGCCTTGAATTCTTGAGTTAACTTGACTTTTCCTAATGTTTCTGCAGGATGTAGATGAGAAGCTCTTGTATGATACTTTCAGTGCATTTGGGGTTATTGTTACTAATCCAAAGGTTTTGCTCTTCAAATATCTTCATTTACATTTAATTTCATCATTTCCAGCTAGTAATAGTTGCTAATACTTTTCGTGCTCTTCTGTTTTCTAATTTCTTATTATTGGCATTTAACATTTTGTTCTGTTTAAAATGTTAGTGTCAAGCCAATTACAATTAAAAATAACCACCTGTTTATAGTTTATTGTTCTTGGAACAATTCTCCAATAACCATCCAGTGATCAAGGAGCAACTTTACTGTTGCTCTAGGGCTTGTCACGTATTTTCTCTGTTTTTTCCCCATTTTTAGGGACTATAGATCTTAAGTTGATTAGTTTTTCCCCATTATTTTGAAGTTTAGCATTTGAGTAATTAGTTCTTGATAAGGTTCCAATATAAAATCAATTGGCAATATATAGAGTGACCTAACAGGTATTTAAACCATACCAAATAACATGAGGCAGACTATATGGGACTTTCAACACCCCCCCTACAATTAAGTCTGCCGGACTAGGCAACGGTACTTTTGACCCAAAAAAAGGAACAACTTTTGGCCTAAGACAACAACTAGATAGAAGTTAGGCTTTAGTTCTGTTATCATGTTAAGGTTCCAACACAAAATCAATTAGCAATACATGGAGTAGTCTAACATGTATTTAAACCGTACCAAATGACATGAGACAGACAATGTGAGACTTCCAACAGTTCTTTTCCTGGTTTTTAGGGCGCACTTACACACATATTTCCCACTTCCTTTTAATTTTTGACTCTGAACTGTACTGAGCAATGTTATTAAATGGCTTCACCATGGTGCCATGGTGGAAAGGCGTGGATGATTTTTCCAACCGCCACAGGAAGCCAATTAAGAAGGGAGGTCTGCTCTGGAGTCATCATAGACGACATTGGCATGTTTATGTGGCAGAATTTAGCCTGGCCATTTTCCGTTGTTAAACACTGATAGAGCTATTTGACTTCTATCTGATCTAAACAAACCAATACGTGAACGTTTTCAATGTTTCTGTATGGTAATAAACTTCTATAGCATTTTTAATTATTCATCATGAATCTTACAATTCACAATCTGGAAAATATACCTTCCTGTTCATGATACAAGGTCCAATTTGACAACTATGCATGGACAGATTCACGCAATGATTGTATATGCACTTTATTTGATGAATTAAATAATTGATATTGGCTGAATTCATCGACAGATTTCTTTTTCTGATTACCATTCTAAAATGTCCTGAAGTACACATCTTTTGTAACAACTCTTTGTGATAACTGTTCCATTTATGTGACGAATGTGTGTGCATGCATAAAGGGCTGTGTTTTTATTCTGATTTTGCAAATCATATACTGCAAAGCATATTATACTCCGTGCTGTCTCAACCCTCAATACTTGATCTGATATGCAAGTCTTGTTTGCTGCAGATCATGAGAGATCCTGAGACAGGAAATTCTCGTGGTTTTGGCTTCATCAGCTATGATTCATTTGAGGCATCTGATTCGGCCATTGAGGTATGTTTCTGTCTACTGTTTTAATCAATTGTAAGAATATGGTGATAGGATGGGATCCTCGGTTCCCAAGTGCTCGGGAGGGTTTTCCTTCAGTAGTGCTTAATTGTACTGAGAAAGATGTCTCGCTTACCTCATGGGAGATAGTATAGGTAACCAGAAATACCTAAAATGAAATAAAATACAATTGTTTTCACTTTTCATGCCATAAACAAAGAGGAAACAAAGAGATAGCAATGTCCATCTGATTCCAACAAGATTTATAGTTACATCCGACATCCGTATCAGTGATTTGTTTGCATCAAGGGAAGCTTTCTAATATATGCTGTCTTCTCTAATTCAAACGGATCAAAATAAAATAAAAAGAATGGTGTGGTTTCAACCTGCAGAAGAGGGAATAACATAAGGAAAAGCTGCAGACTATTTTTTTTCTGCATCTTGAAACTGAAACAGGGAACAATCCCACAACTAAGAAGAATTTAAAGAAACTAGAAGTTAGGTAATTTTGTCGTGACATTTGTGTTACCCAGTATTTATTTATTTTTTACGTTTTGGTGAAATATGGGGCAGAGCATAAAGTAACAGAAGGCTACACAAACCTACAGTTAGAAGCCCCCTTTAAATCTTTTTTTTTGATGAGGTAGTTCTTGCTGTAATATAGCTGTGGGAGACCTTCTATCTTGGACAGGATTGCTGTGACCAGAAGAACGAACCCTTCTTTATATCCCACTAGCGAAGCCTATAGGGCCTTCTGTTTTTTTTTTTTTTTTGCCAAATATGATTGGAAGTATTGATATTCAAATGCTGTAATGCCCCTTCTAAAGAATGAAGCTAGTAGGAAGCATGCTTATTTTGTTCTGTAACCCCTTTTTTATTTTGTATTAACGTATAAATAAGGAAGTTTTAAAATTATTGGCAATTTAAATTTTGTTGTCTGGGTACCCAAATCACACGTAACAATAAAATATAATATAGGAAGTTGTAATTTCTATATTGAATATTTCTATATTTTTCATAGGCGATGAATGGACAGTATCTTTGCAATCGTCAAATTACAGTGTCATATGCTTATAAGAAAGACACTAAGGGCGAACGGCATGGTACCCCTGCAGGTAAGGCCCTTTCTTGTTACCACTTCTACTATCTATTTTTTTTTTTTTGGATTAATTCATGCGTACCCTTTTGTACTACCTGGCTATCCGCTAATATTTCTTATGTTGTTCAGAAAGAGTTTTGGCTGCAAGTAATCCAACTGCACAGAAGAGCAGGCCTCATACTTTATTTGCCAGTGGACCTCCAACACTTCCCAGTGTTCCTCAGGCTAATGGGGTTGCTCCAGTGCCTCCCCGTCCCTTTGCCAATGGGGTCGCTCCTGGTTCGATTCCTGCCCTCCGTCCACCACCCCCTCAAGCTGCTGCATTCCAGCCTATGCCGGTGCCTGGACAACCAACCTGGCATCAGCAACAGCCAGGTCAAACAATCTTACCACCGGCAATGCCACCTCCACCTCAAGTTCAGCAGTTCAGGCCACCGCACCCTGGTATGCAGCAGATGCCACCACCTCCGCAAGCTCCTCCCAGGCCTCTTCCACCACCTGCAATAATGGCAAGTCAGCCACCACCTGTTTGGCGTCCACCACCACCTCAGCATCAGGGTGGACGGCCTATGCCATACCCTCAGTCTATGCCCCCGCCACCACCTCCCCAGTAACCCCAGGCCAGCACCTTTGAATTGAAGGAAATCACATGGAATGTTCTTGACTCCCAATATCTGGAATTTTGCCCATTTATTGTTAGTTAGTTGTATTGTTGCGTTATCTTTCTGAAATAGTGTAGATTGTAACATGAACGTCCCTGACAGCCAACAATGAACAATCTTAAAATTATTCCTGTCCAGTAAAGGGGGACATGAGTTTTGGCATCACTGCATGATATCATCATTTCACCATGTTTTCTTGTTGTTTCCTGTGAGATGCTTTGGATTGTTGATGTGTGTTCAGGACGAAGCAACCAAATGACTCTAATGAGATTATTGAGTTTCAGACTTTCAGTTCTTGCAAAGGAAAGGCTATTGGTACTTGAAACATTAAATTAACATGCATCATGCATGTGTAAAAGTTTGGTAATATAATAAGCGTCCATGAATAGTATTCAAAAAAGAGAATCTTATCACTTTTTTCATAGTTATTCAAAATGTTTCGGTTTTGATCTGCCTTTTTGTTCTTAAATTATATTTTCTATTGGTCTTTTTATTAAATTTAACCATCAAACCTAATATTGATTATGTTATGACATCACACTTCAATAAAATTGTCAACTTAGTGATGCTAAAAATTGCAATGTAATTTATAACGTTATAAAGGATTTAAATAAAAAATATATATTTGTAAGACTAAAGTGATAAATAATTTAATTAATAATTTTATTATATACGGTACATTATTATTATTATTCTCTGGAAGATTTAATATAATTGCCCGATAAGAACCAAAACACCATCTTCTATGATCAGTGTCTTCAAACAAGGAAAATTTGGAAAGACAAAAAATGATATATATATATATATATATATATATATATATATATATATATATATATATATATATATATATATATATATATATATATATATATATATATATATATATATATATATATATTGAGACAATTCTCATCTTTCACTTTTTACAAGATTAATTTTGGTCAAAGACCACAGGAAAAGTGTAATTTTGGTCAAAGAGAAAAATAAAAATAAAAATGAAGAGACATATAATATAAGGATGTGAGTTCTATTTATATAACTCAAGAAAATGAAGACAACAAATAAAACGCAGGAAATAATAAATCTTATCTCAATTAGTACATTCTGGATAGGACCATAAAAATTTGATGTAAGATGGTTTCTAATACAATTGACGCAGAAAGTGTTGATGTTAAGTCCTTGTGATAAAGTTTCAATGATAACAAACTGGCAAGAAACAAACTAATAAGTCTTTTGAAAATAAGTTACTGTTTTGCTTTGATAATGTGATTAAAAGAACAAGACTTGAAGATTATATGAACAAAGAATATATATTAAGCTCGGGAAGCATCGATTTGAAGTATGCAAGATCCAAGAATAAATTTACTAACCAGAATCAACTTTATCAGAAGAAAATATGACTAGAAACATAATATAATAAACACGTTTTAGAAGATAAGAATGTAGTAGGATTAGAAATTGTGTGATCAGAAGATGGATTTGGTCAAAGAGTAGCAAGATTAGAAGTTGTACCTGATAAGATTGTCCATAAGAAGATGCAAACTAAACAATAAACGAGATAAAGACATTTGCGTTATTCAAAAGCTAGAAAAGGGTAACATCAGAAGCAACAAGCTCATAACTACAAAAGCGTTGATGCAAACAAAGCAACGATGGATAAGAAGATTGATGATGCTCAAGTATTGCTATATTCAAAAGCAACCAGAAGAAGCATAATGTCGAAAATAATCTTCGAAAGCAATATTCTCGAATCCACAAGTGATGAGAGAATGTAAAGAATCAAAATTCAAAAAGAAAATGAAAATTTTGAAAAGGGGAAAGGAAATCACATAAGATTGTGATATAACAGCAAGAGAAAGTACGTCAAAAGAGATAGTCTGATATGTATGATAGTAACAGATGGTGGATAACGTGTTATTATCTGAAAAGGAAAGAGAAAAGAAAGCATAAATCAGTGATGGAGGGGTTGAAGGATGTCCTTAAGGAAGTTGATGAAGGAACAGAGGCCACCCAAGAAGTTATGATCAATCACTCCATTCCCAGGAACCACATGAGCAAAGTCAACGAGTTTGACCACCGGCTTCGCCTTCCCCTTCTCCTTCTCATACACCACAAGAACCGAACACGAATAAAAATGATACACAGTCTGAACCTCAAACCACGCCTTCAGCTCCACCAGCCGCTCTAAAACGCTCCCAAAAACCTCCGCCGCAAAATCACAGTCGCGATCGGAATCCTCCGCGTTGAAGGAGGAAACGAATTTCCTGAGAAGCAAGGCCACGCCCTCGGCAGAGAGTTTCTGGAGGAATGTTCTAGATGGTTCCCAGGAGGAAATGGAGTCCTTGACGCCGGAGATTCGGAATCCCAGGGGGAGGCTCGAGGTCTCTCTGTCTTTCTTCATGCATTTCGCGATGTACTCTTCGGAGTCATCGGCGTTCCAGGTTCGGGAGCCGATTTTGACGTCCATGACGGAGGGTTTGGCGTAGGGGGAGACGAGGTCTTCGAGGATGAGGTGGGGATGGGGCCCGGAGCCGTCGGAGGCGGGGACGACGGCCGTGCCATAAAAGTCAGGGAAGAAGCGGCGGATGGCGGGGGTGACGGCGAGGGTGGTGTAGAAGGAGAGCTCGGTGGAGCCGCGGGCGTCGTTGTTCTGGAGCGGTTTGTAGAACTTTCCGGAATCGTCGACGAGTGGACCCAGCAAGCCCTTCTTGGCCTTGTGACCCGCTACCTGGTGCTCCGGAACCTTCAACATTTCTTCCGTGCGCCAGATTGAAGCAATGTGATAAATCAACACAACCCACACACACACACAGAGACATATATATATATATATATATATATATATATATATATATATATATATATATATATATATATATATATATATATATATATATTTATTTATAAGAATCAAATCAAATCAACTGTTAGCGTCTCAACGGACAACTTTCTTTCAACACAAAATACACCATTCTTTCTTCATTCCACTTTTACATTTGGAACAAAAAACAGGACAAGGTAATTTGCTTTTACATTCCACGCACTATCATTTACTTCCATTACATACTTTTTCATTTTTGCTGATTCTTTTTTGTTTCCCAGGATTGGAGATTTAAATATTAAAACATCTGCTGTGCATGTCAAAACTTTAGGTAGATTCGGGTAGATATTAAAAAGATGATAACTTTTTGGTTTAATCACGGGCTGAATATATCCAACTCTTCAGATACACATGACCCATACGACAACAATGTTCCACTGTGACATGAAAGGCTACAAAAAACAATGTCGTTGGTTTATGGCAGAAAAGAAAATATAAAAATGAATAACAGACCAAAATATGTTAGTATAAGAAGAAAACAAATATGGATCACATTTTTTTCCTGAGTCGACATTATATTTTAATAAACCTATTAGATGAAACAGACTAATTTACTCTTTAATTGTAGGTAATACTTCCTGACAAATTAATAAAATGTTTAAAACTGAAACAGTAACAAATAAACATTATTCAGTCTAAAAAGAAATAATTTACAAATGTGAGTATTTGCAACAGAAATTAATGTATGATCTAAAATCATCCAGTGTCTATAATCTTGATCAACTTTTTATTTAACTGAGTTTCATTAACTCTTAGAAAACAAAACAACATAACAACATTTCACATTTATGATTGGAGGAAAGAAGTGAAAAATAAGAAAATAAGACTGAGAGAGGTACTATTGAAGAAAAGCAAAGTCATATATTGTTGAATATCATGACCCTAATGACTTAGACCTGTGTTTTAAGTACAAAGACCAGTGTTTTCAACAACATAACATAGGGTATGTAGTATTTACAAACAATAGTTCCTCTCGAGGAATCAAACATGAACTTGGTGTTTATTTTAAGACCTACACACACAATCCGGGTATCCTTAGGGAAGCAACACAACAGATCCTGTAGTCTTCCGATTCTCCAGGTCTTCATGTGCTCTTGCTGCCTCAGACAACGGATAAGTCCCATTAACCCGCACCTTTAAGACACCAGAAGCAACCTTGGAAAACAACTCTCCAGCAGCCTCCAATAGCTCATCCCGAGTGACATTGTAATGCTTTAAGGTAGGTCTTGTCAGGAACAAGGACTTTGTAGCCAGGGAAGATAATGGAACTGGATCAGGTGTACCTGATGATTGCCCAAAACTTACCATGTAACCTCGAAGCTTCAAGCAAGCCAAAGATCCCTGTACAAACCAGAGTATGGATAGTTATGAGAAAAATAGATTAATTGAAATATATGATTTTTATTATATCAATACAAAGAGATGATATAAGATATATACAAGAGACCTAAACTATTTTAGGAAATATAATAACTCTATTTTATGCTAGGATCCCTTGATTTATGGGATTGTTCCTAATTATTCAAATCTGTACACATTACAAGGAAATATACAAATTTCCTTATTTATTCTTTCCTAAAATACTATTTGATTTCTCACACTCCCCCTAAAGCTGGTGAATAGATGTTTTCCATTCCCAGCTTGGATACAATCTTCTCAAAATTATGGCAGCCCAGTCCCTTGGTAAGAATGTCTGCAATTTGGTCTTGAGAGGACACATATGGAGTGCATATCAAGCCACTATCAAGCTTTTCTTTGATGAAGTGTCTGTCTACTTCAATATGCTTTGTTCTATCATGCTGCACTGGGTTGTGGGCTATACTGATTGCTGACTTATTATCACAATAGAGCTTCATAGGTTCTTCCCACTTTATCCTCAAGTCTTCTAAGATGATTTTAAGCCATAGCAACTCACATATACCTTGTGCCATGGCTCGGAATTCTGCTTCAGCACTGGACCGAGCCACTACACCCTGCTTTTTGCTTCTCCAAGTCACAAGATTTCCTCCAAGAAAGGTGCAATATCCTGTAGTTGACCTCCTATCCACAATTGACCCTGCATAATCAACATCAGTATAGGCTTCAAGTTTTACATTACCATTCCTTTTGAATAGAATCCCTTTTCCTGGAGTTCCTTTAAGGTACTGTAAAATTCTGTGGGCAGCTTGTAAATGGGTCTCCTTTGGGCTATGCATAAATTGGCTAATTAAACTCACTGCATAGGCAATATCTGGCCTGGTATGTGACAAATATATAAGTCTGCCCACTAATCTTTGGTACATATCTTTTTCAACAGCAACATCTTCTTCTGCATTTCCAAGCTTTAGGTTTGGTTCTAATGGGGTACTAGCAGGTTTGCAAGCTGCCTTGCCAGTTTCCTTGAGCAAATCAGTGATGTATTTCTGCTGAGATATAAATATCCCTTTCTCGGAGTGGGCAACTTCAATTCCCAAAAAATATTTTAGTTTTCCCAAAGTCTTGATCTCAAATTCCTTGCCTCAGCATTGACTCAATAATCGTTGCTCTTCTTTATTATCTCCAGTTAATATTATGTCATCCACATACACCAATAATATTGTTACTCCCCCGACTTGGAATGTTTAAAAAACAAAGTATGGTCCCCTTGGCTTTGTTTGTAACCCAGACTCTGTCATAACTTTAGTAAACCTGCCAAACCATGCACGGGGGGACTGTTTTAACCCATATAATGCCTTTTTCAACTTGCAAACAGTGTTGGTAGCAACATCTTTACCATATCCCGGAGGTATCTCCATATAGATTTCTTCTTCAAGGTCTCCATGTAGGAAAACATTCTTAACATCAAATTGTTCCAAGTTCCAACCATAATTGGCAGCAAGGGACAATATCACCCTAACTTGTGTTCATTTTGGCAACCGGAGCAAAGGTCTCCAAATAATCAACTCCATAGGTTTGTGTGAACCCTTTGGCAACTAGTCTTGCCTTATATCTCTCAATTGATCCATCGGCCTTGTATTTCACTTGTATAGACCCATTTACATCCAACTGGTCTCTTTCCTATTGGTAAGGTGACTAACTCCCAAGTGTTGTTTTTCTCCAATGCCTCCATCTCTTCATCCATGGCTTGCCTCCATTTTCCGTCGAACAATGCCTCGAGATAGGGTATTAGGTAGAAGTACAGTGTTTAGGTTTACTAGGAAGGTTTTATGGGTAGGAGAGAAATTTTTAAAGGACAGGTAATTTGAGAGAGGGTAGAGTGGTTGTTTGGTGCATTTTCTTGTTCCTTTTCTAATGGCAATTGGGAGGTCAGGTTCATTTTGGGTTTCAATTTCAACCTGCACAGCTGGAGAAAAAATTATCTCTTTTTGTGGAGTCGAGTTGGATTCTTGAACATGGCTTGATCCTGGAATGGCCTTAGTCTTCCTTGAGTACACCAGCTTCTTACCAAATTTTCCAGTTTCAACATCTTCTTGATCAGCTTCACAATTAATTTCACTTTCTTGACCAACTTCCTTTGCTTGACCAATTCCTTGACTTGTTTCATTTGTTACAACTTCAATTTGATCTTCAATTTGATCTTGTTTAGGTTCAAATGTCAAGTCTGGAAGAATGGGAAAACCAGAATCACTACTTTCCTTATCTTCCCTGAAACTCTCCCCTTGAAGATAAGGTTGATGGAAATAGCCCTCTTGTTTATTGAAGGTAACATCCCTAGACACAAAAAATTTTTGGATGGGGGGTGGTAGCATTTATACCCTTTTTGAGTGGGTGAGTAACCAACAAAGACACACTTTAAGGCTCTAGGATCAAATTTTCCCCTGTCTGTACTATGAATATGGACATATGAGATGCACCCAAAAACTCTTGGTTTAAGATTATTTGTAGTAGACAAGTTTGGATAGAAAGACGACAAAACTTCCATAGGGCTTTTTGATCCTAAGACTGTAGAGGGTAGTCTATTGATAAGGTATGTTGCTTGTAAGGACAACTTCCCCCAGAAATTTTTTGGGACACTTTTTTTGGAACAACAATGCCCGAGTCCGATTTAATAGATGTCCATTTTTCCTCTCTGCGACCCCATTCTGTTGTGGTGTTTTGACACAGGAGGACTCATGAATTATACCTTCTTTTTGACAAAAAGAATTAAGGACATGATTGAAGTAATCTTTGGCATTATCTGACCTAAGCCTCTTAATATTAACACCAAACCGATTTTTTATCATGGAGTGGAAGTTTAGGAAGACAGAACCGACTTCGATTTTTGTTTAAGTAGGAAAACCCAAGTGACCCTTGTACAGTCATCTATAAAGGTGACAAACCATCGAGTACCGAGACACATTTGGAATATTAGAAGGTCCCCATACATCAGTATGAACAAGATAAAAAGGGAAATTGCTAATTCTATTACTTATTGGAAAAGATATACGTTTGTGCTTAGCAAGTTCACACACCTCACAATGAAGACTCTCAACATCTAACTTGGTAAACAGAGAGGGAAATATAATTTTGATCACTCCAAAAGAGGGATGTCCCAACCGACAATGATAAAGCATGATTTTTTCTCTATTGGTCATCAAGGATTCAGATATGAAGGAGTGAGAGATTCTATTCTTGTCTGGGCAGACTTGGATCTTCGAGATAATAAAGGCCATTCCATTCTCTAGCATGTCCAATCATCCTCCCCGAATCCTTATCCCGAAATACACAATGATCGTTGGAAAAAACAACTTTACATGACAAATCCTTTATAAGTTTTTGTATAGACACTAGGTTCGTGGACAACTTTGGGAGATGGAGAACGTCTTTTAAGGTTATTAAAGGATTGATTTGGATATTTCCTTGACCATGCTGCAGTTATAAGGGTTCCATCTCGTTGTGGCAATTTTCTTGTTGCTTGGGACATGGGGAATATGTGGAGAAGTGTTTGGCTAATGGTGTCATGTGATCTGTGGCTCCGAGTCCAATATCCAATAATGGTTAAAAGGCGTATCTGAGACATTTAATCCAAAAGAAGGTGGAAACTTACCCGAGTATGCCAAAGAACACATACCTGTAGGTTTTTCCAGACTTACTAAGAATGGTTTTCACCCTTTCTATCTCCTCTTCCCTTGACATTATAGCAAAAAGGTGCGATGCAACTACAATGCGAGGCTGTCGTCTTAGGATTATGAAAAATGCAGGCAGCAATGCAGGCCGTCGTCTTAGGATTAAGAAAAATGCAGCGGCAATGTAGGCTGCCGTCTTAGGGTTAAGAAAAATGCAGCAGCAATGCAGTCTGCCGTCTTAGGGTTACAAAATATGCAGCAGCAATGCAGGCTGCCGTCTTAGGGTTTATCGAGCGCAGACAAAGCTTCCTCGATCGGAAGCTCTGATACCATCTGAGAAAAATAGATTAACTGAAATATATGATTTTTATTATATCAATACAAAGAGATGATATAAGATATATACAAGAGACCTAAACTATTTTAGGAAATATAATAACTCTATTTTATGCTAGGATCCCTTGATTTATGGGATTGTTCCTAATTATTCAAATCTGTACAGATTACAAGGAAATATACAAATTTCCTTATTTATTCTTTCCTAAAATACTATTTGATTTCTCACAATAGTTATGGATTTTGCAAACAATATGTTTAAAATTTTGAAATGATTGAACACAAACATTAATGAAATAGATGAAGCAAGCCAAAGTTTAACATTTTAAAAATGAAACCACGCAAATGTTAGTGTGGTGATAATCAAAGGAATTCGTTGATCAACATAGGATCAACTGAATCATAAATCTACGTATATTTTTGCACATTTGATTATCGTAATAAAAAGAGAACTTTAAGAATCAGAATACAAATAAAAGACTACTCATGGATACCTCCAAGCAAGACACAACATTGTTATTATTATTTTCACTAATGTACCCAACCAGTTGATTTTAGAATTCCATTTAGGCATAATATAGAAAATGACAGGTATACCTCAAATGTATCTTTCCCCACGGAATCATAGACTACTTCAACTCCATTGCCTGATGTAATTTCGTTGACACGAGCAACAAAATCATCTTCTGTGTATAATATTACATGATGGCATCCATCCTCCTTGGCGTGAGCTGCCTTCAAATTATTGGATACAGTTCCAATAACGGTTGCACCAAGAGCATTTGCCCATTGGCACAATAAGGATCCTACTCCACCAGCTGCTGCATGTACAAGAATTGTGTGACCAGGTTCAACCTGCATGTATGTCATCATGTTGTGGGCAAGATTATGGGAAATGAACTGGTTTTACGATAACAACATGAACTTGTTAATATTCTAGTCAACTATGATAGCAACAAATGTCATACTTTTGCTAGCTGCAACCATGTTTTTGGGTGCTCTATCTGGGACATCACATGCACAAATTACACAATCACATATTCACACTACGTGAGGAATATCTTAGTTCATTAACTGCTGCATTTGGCTTGATTAGTCTGGATCATTTTATTCTCCTGATTAAGGTGAAATCTCATTTTGTATATTTCTAGGGCTTGACATCATTGAATAGAATTCCGTTTAGTACTCACCCAATAGCATGTTTTCCAGAAGTGAGAGCACCAAGATCACATGTCTAATATTGTTCTAGAGCATCTAACATTTTCTCATCCATTGCATGTCACCATTTGTCATGAACTAGAGCCTCAAAATTCGTTCTTGGAATCGTGAAGAAGTATGAAGTCAAGTGACAAAAGGATCTGGAGGACTAAGAAAGATGTTGTAAATAGCTAAAAAAAGTAATAAAATTGAAAAAAGGTTGATGAGTAACTTTTTCTAATGGCAATTGGAAGAACTAGTGTTGAATCTTGTGACAAAGGGATAGGTAAAGGTGGTAAGTGTAATATCCAATTGCAAAATAATAGGACTTAAGTCTCAAATTGGAAGTACAGGATTCTAGTATGGTTTTCAATAGCCATTGGGGTCTCTAACTACAACAAACAGACTCTTCCATGTGGTTCTCTCAAGGTTCTTAACAGTGAAGTGAGTCACTAGCGGGGCCTATATCTTCTTTTATAACAAGTGGAACCAAGCAAGACACTTAAGAGAACGGGGGAGTAGGTTGAAGAACTAAGGCTGAATATCCTACACAAGGCATGTACAAAAAAAAAATAAAAAATGAGGAAAAGGTAACATAAGTTGAGATGGAAAGATAATAATATAGTAGAAGACATTCCAATGATCAATAAACAAGCATGAGAGATAATGTAAACCTATAACTGGTTGAAGACATATGAAATAATAGGACTAAATAAAGGTCTATAACTGAATAATATCAACATTATGATGAGTGCTGCTGATAGAATCATACACTCTTTTTTATTGGTTAAAGTTTATTATAAACTTCAAAATCAAAATTGAGATTCACTGTATAATGAGTGAGATCCACACAATTTTTTTATTTTTAACAAATTCCAACAAATAATAGTATGTTAAAAAAATGTATTGCAAGCATCTATCTTGACAATATAGATATAGCCCCAAAAAATGTGGGAGAGAATAGGCATGCATACATCTCCTTTCACTTCCTAGAAGTTAGAAGTGATTAATCTTTTCTTAAGTGAGTATACGGAGAATCAATCTCCCATGGAGCACCTGAGGATATTTCTTTTTATAAAAAATACACTAATAACAAGCATAGACATACGCACACCTTGAAACATTGTTGAAGCAAATAACGAGTCGTCATGCCCTTGGACATGATGGATGCCCCAATAATGGGGTCAATTGTGGGAGGGAGGGGTACTAGATTTCTTGCAGGAAGAATGTGCTCCTCAGCATATGAGCCCAGAGGTTGACATGAATAAGCTACAGTATCTCCAACTTGTATATCAGTGACTCCAACACCCACAGCCGTGACCACCCCAGCACCCTCCACACCTACCATACCACAATATTATAAAGAGAAAAGCTTCGTACTTTATTTGTTTTGTATTTGCCCTCCAGGTATCGCAATTGTGTGATTTTAGCCATTCAGGTTCTAATTGTACCAATTGGGTTTCCAAGTATTGCAAATGTGTGATTAGTCTCCAGGTTATAATTCAACTAATCGGGTCCTTCAAGTATCACAACTGTAAGATTTTATTGACCACAGATATTACAAATGAATCTCACGTTAGCAGATTCCAATTGATGGAGATATTACACAATTGCAATATCCAGTAGATCAATTAGCACATTGGAAATCTGGGACCTAAATCCACACATTTGTGATGCATAACTAAGAGATCCAAATGACACAATTTGTAGTACAATTACAATTTTTGGAGAGCAAAAGTGAGATTAAGTCTTTTTAATTCCAAGAACACAAAAATATATATTACTTAAAGTTTATAGTAGTAAAGTAAAGAAACCTGGAGTGTAGGGTAAAGAGGGGACTTTATAAACTCCTGTGCGAAAATAGACATCAATGAAATTAACCCCAACAGCTTTGTTCCTCACACGAACCTCGCCTTCTTTTGGCTCTCCAATTTCCACATCCTCCCACTTCAAAACCTGTCATGTAACTCGTAAGTTCCACAATTCAGCATTGAAGGAAAAGATGAGCGAGTAATGACTATGGTAGTGAGTGAGAGTGGAAGAGACCTGAGGGCCACCGAGTTGGTGAACTCTGATAGCTTTCACCATGTTTGTGGTTGCCGATGATTTCTAAGCATTCTTAGGCTGTACCTCTGCTTGAAGCTAAAGAAAACTAACAACGCATTTAATTTTTAATCTTTTTTCTGTTTTTTTTTTTTTTTTTTATGATTTATTTTTGTTCAGTTGTACTTTGTGGTCCATTATTTGCACTGATTTGGGGTGTGTTTCTAAATAATTTGAAAATAAAATTAGTTTAATCATCAGTTAAATATTATTATTATTAGAATTATAATTATTGTTTTAAATATTTTTAATTTATGCAAAAAAGAATAAGCTTTAGTTTTAGTGAACTTAAATATTTTTATATAATATTAATTTTTCTATAATTAAAAATCAATACATTCTATCTTTAATATTATATGATATTTTATATATATAATAAAGAAAAATAAGCGATTATTTTAAATCACGTTTACGTGCTATGACATAATTTCTAAGTTTGAAGGGCATAAGCATTTGTTTTAAAAAAGGAGTTTTCATAGAGTTTTCATTTAACCACCAATCCTCATACAATATACAACATGAAAAATACTATTTTCTTTTTTGTTAAAAAGTAAAAGTTTCACCCTTGCATGTGTTGATTGAATGTTCTCACATTCAATTAAGATATTAGTTTCACATGATGTATTTAGTTTATTTTGATCCTATTGAAATTTAACTTGATATATTCATTTAAAATATTATTAATAAACAATTTAATTAATAAAAAAAATATAAACGTATATATAATTAAAAATTAGATTGAAATTATAGATTTTTTAAATAAAAGGAGAAAATCATGAAAAAAGTAAAAAAAAAATCATAGATAATAAATAAAAAAATATCAAATTATAATTTAACCAAATAAATTACATTTAGTTAGAAGCTAACATATTTGTCTCGGGTAATCAGAACATGTTACGTATCTAAGTCCACTCGCTAAAAGATGAACTATAAACTATAGGATTTTTATATATATATTTTTTAAAACATATATATTTAATTATATGAATAATTTTTAAATTTTTATTTATTAATTAATATTTTTATTAGATAAATTAAAAATATTATATTTATGTACCAAAATAATTAATTATAATTAATAATTTAAATTTAATTAATTATTATAATTTAAATTATAATATATTTATATATTTTAATAATATATAATATTTTTAATTATAATACATTTTTTTAATTTTAATATATAAATATTTTTTTAAAATAGACAAAGCAAAGTTGGTGGGCTAGCTGTGGACCAAACGGGTGGCCGGATAAATTCCCACGTTTAGCTTTATTACGGGTTTTCTCCATTTCTCCATTGCGGTTGGATTATAAAAGATTGGATTATAAAAGGGAGGAGACAACAGCAAATAAGTTCAATGCAAAAAAACATGAGAAGACACATTAGCATAGAATTCACATTTTGCTTAGTTTTTTTCAAGAGGAATCAAACAAAGGACTTGGTGCATAACACCCCATCCACAAGACAACTTGAGTCTCATGGTATCAACACAACAGATCCTGAAGTCTTCCTATTTTCCAAGTCTTCGTGTGCTTTTGCAGCCTCAGACAATGGGTAAGTATGATTAACACGAACCTTCAAGACACCAGAAGCAACATTAGCAAACAACTCACCTGCAGCCTCCAATAATTCATCCCGAGTGACGACATATTGCAGTAGGCTGGGCCTTGTCAAGAACAGAGATTTTGCAGCCAGAGATGATAATGGAACTGGATCAGGTGAACCTGATGACTGTCCAAAACTTACCATGTAGCCCCTAAGCTTCAAGCATGCCAAAGATCCCTGCACAAATAACACAGCTTAGCAGGCATGCTTTGTTAAGGACTTGCTCATAGCACTCTTATGTTTTGGTATGATAAAAAATAAAAACCTGAAATATAGTAACCCTAAGTGCACTTCTACACCATAAATTTCTCTTAAAATATGGACTTTGATATAGTAATCACTATATCAAAGGCTTCATTGGTGTTTAATTATAATTAGTTATGAACATAGGATCACCTGAACTATAAATTATAAATCTAATCACACATCTACATACCCGATTATCATAATAGAAGGAACCCGTAAAGGATTAGAATATAAGAAAATTCTAATGGATACATTCATGCATGACACAATATTAATAATTTGGCTTAAATAACTTTAGTTTTCATGGTATACACAACTTTATCCCTGAAAAATCAGTGATTTTGCTTTTGGTCCTCGTATTTGATTGAAGTCCCTATGATATGTGATATACGTTGAATATTCCATGTAGAATAAAAAGTGATGACATATTATATGGACTAATTCAACATGAACTAAATATTATAGGAATTAATATCAAACAAAGACCAAAAGCCAAATATCTAATATTTTAGGGATTTAAGCCAATAATAATTTTATGCAGGGATTAAAACTGAAGAGGGCATGTATTACAAGGACAATAATGCTATCTAATCCTAATCATTTTATTTTTCCACTCTAATTACCAAGAATCAAATTTAGAAATTCAATGTGGGTGTAGTATAGAATACAATAGGTATTACCTCAAAGGTATCCTTTCCTACAGAATCATAGACAACTTCAACTCCATTGCCTGACGTAATTTCATTGACGCGAGCAACAAAATCCTCTTCTTTATAGATTATAACATGATGGCATCCATCCTTCTTGGCTTGAGCTGCCTTCTCATTATTGGACACAGTTCCTATAACAGTTGCACCAAGAGCATTTGCCCATTGGCACAATAAGGATCCAACTCCGCCCGCTGCTGCATGGACAAGAATTGTGTGACCAGGTTCAACCTGTAAAGAGATAGGTACATAATCTCTGTTCATTATTAAGAAGAGAAAATGCATTTATTTCAGGATAAAGCATGAATTGATCAGTTAATATACTATAGTCCGCGGTCGCACATGAGCTCAACAATGCTCATCAAAACAGGGACTAGGCATATGAAATAACAAAGAACTAAATTACAAAGCTACTTAATTAATAGAGCTTCTCAATAACTAAAATTGACTAATATTCCAAGTCCTAAACGAACATTTGCTAAATATAATAAGGAATCTAGACTAGTATGCTAACAAAACTCAGAGATCAAGTAAAATAGCTTCAGCTAAAATGATTAAAACATCACGGAAAATTACCTTGAAACAGCGCCGAAGCAAAAAATGAGTTGTCATGCCCTTCAGCATGATGGATGCTGCAATAGAAGGGTCAATCGACGAAGGGACAGACACTACTTTATTTGCAGGAAGTATCTGCTCTTCGGCATATGAGCCCATCGGTTGACCTGCATAAGCCACAAGATCTCCAACCTGCCTACCAGTGAGCCCAGCCCCCACAGCGGTCACAATCCCAACAGCTTCCATACCTGTGTAATGTGAGAGTATTTTGGTGTTGAATGAGAGAGTGAAATATGAAAGACAAAAATAAATAAACAGTTTTTGTTAATTGAGAATGAAAATAAGGAAGGAACCTGGAGTGAAGGGAAAAGAGGGGGCTTTGTAAACTCCAGTGCGAAAGTAGACATCAATGAAGTTGACGCCAACGGCTTTGTTCCTGACGCGAACCTCGCCTTCTTTGGGCTCTCCGATTTCCACATCCTCCCACTTCAGAACCTGCGATGATGCGATGTCACACCACAATTCAAATAAACAACATTACCGAATATATTACTGACCTGAGGGCCACCGATTTCGTGAACTCTGATTGCTTTCACCATGTCTGTTGTTGTTGATGATGATGATGATAACGAGGCCTTGGTTGGGAGTGGTGCTGTGTGTCCGGTGAATGATGAAGAAGAGGATGAAGAAGAAAAGAGAATTGGGGAATGAGTGAATCGAAGGAGGAGAGGAGGATGGTTGACTCCCAATAACCTTGAAAGTGACATTTGGTTTCAATTTTGGATTGCTTTATTCTCTCAATCATGACAGAAAAAGAAAAAGGTGATAGTTAAATTTTAATTTAATTTGAAGTGGTTTATTTTTTAATAGTTTTAAATGATGAGTTATCAATAATGCATCATTTGTGGAATGTTCATGATGGTATTCAAAATAATCATACGCAAAAATTGTAACAATAATAACTCGTGTTTTTGTTCCGACTAAGGTCACGCATGGTTAAGTAATGTTTTAATAAAATAGTTGTTGTTTATAACATTAATAAAATTATTTTTCACTGTACGTCATCTATTTTATGCGTCAATTATACATGCTTTGTTGAAAATATTTTGTTCTTAGGTTTAATTTATTTCCTACAAGTCGGGTACTTTTAGATATTGTGCAACTTTTAGATGATGAAAAATTCGCATATATTTGGGAATTTGAATGTTCTGTCACATGTTATACTTCACATAAACTTTATTTAGATGATAAAAAGAAATGATCCAACTGTTTCACGCCATTCATTGTTCGTTTTGCAGAAATTCCATTATACTTTCTCCAAGTCTAGCTTGAGAGTCATTTTCTGTGAAGAAAAGAGACTTCATCAAAACAACCGACAATTATGTTGAGTATTGCCACCTTATCGGAATGCCAAAATCACTTCTCAAGCCAACATATTGGCTTATTACAACCCTAACGTATAGTTGTATGTAAATAAATAACACATCAAAACTTGATAAATGTGCAAATTCCTATTCACCTTTTCTGAAGGAAAAGAAAATAAGGAGGAAAATTACTAACTTCACTAAATTATGCATAAGCTGAGTCAACACTTGTAAGTGTCTGCTTATATCAAGTAAATGTAAGAAATTGTTACTAAATGAAACCAGCTGCTTCAATATATAGAAGGGATAGTTCCAGAATGATGCATGGCACTGTTGATTTCTAGTCAATACTATACATTACTTTCTAGCATATACATAACGTTAGTTGAAACACTTACATGCTGATATACAAGTATGGAACTAGCAATGTCAACCTATAACCTATCTCACTGAGATTGGTGCCTTGAATTCAGCTGTTTTATCTTTACCTGCATCCCATGCAGTTGGGAGGAGGACCCTCCATCGGGTTGACCCTACAAGTGAAATTTAAGGAATCAGAAGGGTTGACAAAAAAATATATATAAAAATCATGAGTGCGACTCTATAAGCACTTTTGGTGAACTATCTTGAAGATCAAAATAACTTCGTGTTGTGTTGTATTGTCTAGAATGTAACTGTTCTACAAGCATAGGGAAGAGTTCATCATTATAATGCCCTACGACTATCACACTAAATACAATAATTTAAGATAAATCAGCCACGAAATGTAAAACATTTTTCGTATTTTCCTCTTTCTATGAAGAAACATACAAAAAACAGTACCATTACCACAAATGAATAATGAAGCCAATATTCAATACCAGGTCATGTCACACACTTTCAGAATTCTTTAACTTCAGGAATCATAAAGTTTCTAACGAAAATACACGTGATACATTATGTGCCATGTTCGTGTGGCACTGAAACTACATCATGTGGAATTAAAAAAGGTACAGATCATTCATGACATTCCCCAAGAAATGTGAAAACTTTGTCCACATTGCCAAGCCTGCAGAGCAAGCTGAGTGCTATGAAGGTCCTCTCTAACCTATTTTCTTAACTTTTAATTTCTAATGAAATTTATTTCCTTGATTCCTTTGTATTGAAATTTGAAAGTCTCCATTATAACGAGCTTTGTGTTGCATTGAGCCAAAGGAAGAAGCAAATTGAACAGTATGTGTGAAATGGGTAAAGGAGTATAGGCAGAAATTAGAAGTTGAGTTGTCCAATATGTGCATCAAATATGGCACATAACAAGCCACATATGCATTTTTGTTGGTGTTAAGTGGTGCTAGTCAACGGACAAACCCATTGATGTTTCAAGGACCGAAGAGCATTTTTAATGTTTCAAGAACTAAAATAATGAATTCCTTACCTTTTAGAGACAAAAATTAACATTTACTCAACAGTAAACACATAATAGAGTTCATACCATCGCATGCATCTTTTGTGGGGCCGTGTAAAAGAGATCATGGATGGGTGCAGCTGAGTTCAACTGTTCCTAAATCAATTCAACCAAAAACCAGATGTTAACATAAATCTAAAAACCCAAACATTTGAAAATAATAGAAAACACCAAAGACTAGCCATTGTATATTACCCGGTCTTGGATGCCATGCTGGTTGCTATAATAATCATTACGAAAAGCAGCTATTGAATTTAATCGGTGACACTTCAACAAAATTAAGGAGAGCAAATTATTCTTCGAAGTAACAGAAAGCATATTACAATTGGATAACTACTACTATCATATTGAATTTCGAATTTCTAAATTTTAAAGACCACCCACCATTCCCGAGTCAATCTGATGAGCAGCAAAATAGCCATCCAGATTTTGAGCCCTTGAGTTCAGCGGACCCTGTAACAGAGTTTGCAAAAAGGGCCAAAATTTCAAGGTCTACACTCTCTTTTATTTGTCCCAATGCAAGCAGTAGAAATGGGAAAATACCATACCATCTCTTGTGATTCATATGAACAATCAAGACCAGCTGCTTGTGTATTGGGGTTTTCCTATAACAAACATAGACCATAAGATATTTTTTATGATGAAATCTCACAATCAGTAATGACTTTGACATGTACTTCAAACAAGAAGCACCAACCACTTATAGCAATGATCTCTGATTCTGGGGTTACCTATTAAGCATTATACATGAGAGCAGCACGGCACACAAAAGACTATTTGATGTTTTGGAAACAGAGTCTATAACATTAGCATTATGACTGACATGACAAAACTAACCTTTCTTTTTCTAATAGTACTATCCTTTTTGTTAGTATGACCAGCAACATTACTTAGATTCGCCTCTTGAGAACCAAAACATGAAAGGTTCGGTTCTCTGAGACTCTGAATTGAACCATTCAAGCTCTCACACTTTCTCAAAGCTTCTTCCAATGCATTTGCAGTGGCAACGTAAGTCTCATGTGATAAAGACCCTTCATCACCCAATTCAAAAGCTTGTTGACATAAATTATTATAGCGCTTAGCCCTAGAGTCAGAGACAACCGCATCTGACATAGACAGATCTCTTGTTGTTTGTCCACTCTTGGCATTTTTTGTCCAGCGTTTCAATATATACCGAGGTGGGATGATATGTACACCAGAAATCTGTAGTACAATCATTACATGCCTACAAAGATAGCCATTGAATTCAAATGAATAACAAGAGCATGATGCTTCTGATGTTGATTCATTCCAGGTCACAACAAAATTTTGATTGTCCTCAAAATCTTGAACCCTAAACATTTTCATCACCCCATCTTCGCCTTCTTTCCTTGGATGACAAGCTACAGCTCCCAAAACCTCGCTCTGGAACTTCTTAAACACTGCATGTGTGTACAACTCCAACATTTGTTTCCCAAAAGGTGATGGGGACCTCAACGTTGGCCGTCTATGAAGCGTTTCAAAATCCGCCTTGGATTCTTCCTCACACTTATCCCGCAATACCACTCTGTACTGCTCAAGAAACTCTTTCAGCGTAGTTTTCCTCTGCACATATTTATCAAGCAGACAGTTCATAGCTTCTGATCTGTGCACAGTCGACATTCCTGCTAAAACCCTGCCATTCATAAACGCCGGTACCCACTGTTTGCGATCCTCATAAATCTCACACAACCAACTCTCATCACCCAACTCAAACCTCTCAACCATTTCCCCCCAACTCTTCTCAAACTGCTCCTTTGTCCTAGACCTCAAAACACACTTATTAAACACATTCATAAACTCCCCACCATGCCCATGCATCGCGCGACCGAGCTTCTCCGGAACCTTCCTCAACACATGCCACAGACAAAAACAATGACACGACTCAGGAATCACTTGAGCAACCGCTCTCTTGAGCACTCCATCACAGTCAGTGAGCATCACCTTGGGAGCACATCCTGCCATTGCCCTCAACCAATTCCTAATAAGCCACACAAACGACGATTCAGACCCATCAGACACAAAGGCCAATCCCAGCAACAAAAACTGAAAATGGTGGTTCACACCAACAAACGAAACGAAGGGCAATTTACACTCATTTTTAATGTGAGTGGTGTCCAAAAGCACCACGTCGCTAAAGTGTCTATAATCAAGCCTAGCTTTAGCGTCCACCCAGAAAACAGTCCTCAACCGCTGTTCCTCGTTAAAATCGACGGCGAAAAAGAAATTAGGGTTTTCATTTTGCTTAGACATGAAAGAGTTAAGCAAAAATTGAAGGTCGCCTTGGACGAAAAATAAGTGGTGCAGTGTTTTCTTAACCTTGGGTTTCCTTGAGGGACTTGCATTGTTATTATTATTATCATTGGGTTTAGGGTTATTATGAATGGGAAAAATTTGGTGGTTATGGTGTTTGATGAAAGAAGAGATGATCCATGTACCGTGGGGTGTTCGTTTGACGTGCATGGAGGCTTTGCAGTCAGTTTTGGGCCGGGCTGTGGCCCGTTTGGCTCTGTGAGGGTTTGGTGGGGCGCCATAGCAGGTGCAGGCGAATTTGGCATCGATGAAGTCGCCGGAAATTCGGGATCGACGGCTGGCTTTGATTATGGCGGAGAACCCCACGGATTTCGCGTGGGCTTGGTAGTAGGCGAATGCTTCCTCCTTCGAATTAAACTGTGGCCCAGGCCCAGACTCGGGCTCCATTTGAATTCGCGTTCGTGAGATGTGTAGTACTGTTCCGAGATACGTGAGACAAATTTATGGGAAAAAAGCATTATTTTTACGAAGAATAATGTAATTCATTGTTTTTGTATCCCTAGAAAAATTAAATAAGAATGACAAGGTAAACAAGTTAAGTTAAAATGTACAATGTTTTGAAAAATGTTCTGAATCTTTGTTCTCTAGGTACAATGTTGAAAAGCAAAAACTGTTCCTTTTGTAAAGTATGTATATATGTTCATAAAGCTAAGTGCTTGAATACCTATCTAATCATGCAATAGGCCTTTCTTGGCATCTCTATGTTGTTGAACAATCAAAACTGAGCCATGAATATCAAAGTCTGAAGAGGCCAAGACATCACCAACTGTACCAAGTTCCGGACACTCTTCCCAATCACTCATACCAATTGTGAGTGAACTCTGTCCTCTACCACCTTTTCCTACTATAAACAAAGAGTACATGTCTCCTATCTCTTTCAAAGAATCCACTGTTTGTGCTCCATTCTTCACAAACTTCTCCACATACCCTATATGGCCTGAAGTCACATACCTGTTGTAGAAGTCAACCATGAAGGTGTTGTCAATCTCATTCACTGTCTCCTCCCCAGACAGTGACATCAAAATCTCTTTGTCCTCAGATTGTCCACTCTCGATCTGTTCATTCTGTGATGAAGAACTCAACAAAAATCTTATGATTGTCAAGTTCACACGTGGACTTCCTGAAATGCGTAGGCTCCATGCAATAGCCTCACGGTCATCGGGGCCACCAAAGAAAAGTGTTGCAATATTTTGTATGGCTTCAGATGCTACTAGTTGTGAGAAGCCGGGTACCCTTGCAAGGCCTCTTTCTACTATGACACCAACTGAACAAGGGGCATGTCTTAGCACCTTCTGATTCGTGATCCTTATACCCTCTTTTCCACTTTCCAATTTCCCATCAATGCGTTGGTGCTTGTGGAAGGGGAGTAGCACAATTGACACTTGGAGATCTTCTGCTTCATTGCACACATCTTCATACAAGGATGGGAAAGAAGACACTGCCCTTCTTTGGTGGACTAGAATCTTTGTTTCTGAAGTGAACGTATCCAAGGAGTTGTTGATTTCCACCACATCATTGCCACCATAGTCCTCGTCGTCGCTAAGGTCAGCATTTTCTTTCTCATGGTATAACAGGTTGGACTTGATCTTCTTCACAAGCTCTATTAGGTGCATTAAGAAAGTGGTAGATGGTGATGATGTGGAACCATGTATTGCTAGTACTGTGGCAAGTATGGCAGATACCTGACGAGGGTCGTACACACATGCCAGAATTCGAAGTTCATCTTCCATTTGTTGTGGTTCAATTGCAGTGTGGTTGTTTGCAAACATTTTGTCTTCCCCTCTCACTAGAAAAGCCACAATTACTCCTGATATTATTGTGTTAAGTACTATTGATACCAACAGAACATTGTACGCGTCTGAATCAAATGTCTGTGAATCAACAAGAGGCATTGTGTTAGTTTATAGATTTTAGATGATTTCAATTCTGATTAATAGATAAATTTCTTGGCAAGTACTTGAGATAAAGATAGGAAGGTATAATGCATTGAGTTTTTCCGTGTATTGAAGTCAACTTTCGCATCTTAACTTTTAAGCTTGTTGAATGAAAAGAGCTTCCATAAATTTAAGCTCGTAAGTTGATAACCTCAATTCATTTTATCTTCTGTTTTTTTTATCCAAACATGTTATAATTCAACCAAGTCAAGGAATATACTCACAATCACTTGCTTGGCTGCTGCACCAATGAACAGAAGATCAGCATAGCCTCTAGTGTTCAATATGAAGCCAAGAAAAATTCCTTCACTTGTGGGAATTTTAAGGTAGCGGCAAATCATAAGAGTGCCACCAAGCTTGCTTGCAATGCTCAATAATATCAATATGGCCATATTGGCCGTACGCTGCAAGCTCCTGAAGACATTTATCAGGTCACACTGCAAGCCTAAGTAGCCAAAATATACTGGAAGCACAAAGTTGTAAATAGAATAACCAAGTTTGTGCAGCAATGTTCTAGCTGTTTTCCCTTCCTTAGGGAACAACAAACCAATGATGAAACAACTGATAATACTGTTGTAACCCCAAATTTCTATTATCATTGCGCAAGTCAGAAGCAGAAACAGAATGAGTAACAATTCAGGAGCCTTGAGGTACTTCTGGTTTCTATGTCTTGCGTTTAACCAGACTGCTAAGTGCCTGTTTATGAAAACCACCGCGACAGTGATTATAATGCAACCAAAACCAGAAGAAATTTGATTTGGTTTTCTCCAGTTAACCATCACATTGAAGAACAACAAGCACCCCATTTCTGTGATCAATGCAGACGACACCGCCATTCGCCCCACGTGTGATGCTGCAAACCTCAACTCTGCTGACAAACGAATCACCATAGGGGAGCTTGTGTATGACACCACTAGCATGATGATCATGCAAAAATAATACAAAGGGGCATTGTCAATGGTGTTTAGTTCTTGATGCAAGTAAAATGAGACAGATAGACCAAAAAGACCACCCATTAGAGCACCACCACAGGCTACTAAGCTGACCCTACGCAGATTGCGCAATGTGTAGTGCATATTCATCTCTAACCCAAACAAAAACATGAAATTTATGCGACAGAAGAAGCTCACAACTTCATAGTAATTTATTGAACTAGCAGGAAAGAATGTAGCCTTTATATACTCAATATGAGACATTGGACCTAGCGCCAACCCAGCCTGTTGAACAATGATGCAACAAGAAAGAGTTAATGACAATTTCTATACAAACAGATTAGAAACAAGAAAAGAAAGAAGTATCATTGTTTAATATTCATTAACAAAATTAAGGTGATTGGTGATTGATTATTACCAGAATTTGTGCAATTGGTCCAGGTTGACCCACAGTCCTAAACACAACGTTGAAGACGTGTGACACAACAAGAATGCAGGACACCTGCATGCCCATTGAGCTTAGGGGGTTAACCAGATCATTGTTACAGAACATGGAGTGAGTGGCATCCATTCTGCTTCCTCTGTTTCTCAGAACTCAAACAAAAGTTAAGAGGAATCAAATGTTAGAGAAGAAATTCTACGAGGTTCTATGTTCTGATAATTTTCTTTTGGGTAAGGGGATGATGAAATCTACGTTCCAGATCCTAAATTATTGGTGGAAGACACGTAACAGAAGAACATAGACCCCTTAGACTTTTTTCTCCCTATACTTTAGCTCATGCTACCAATTAACTATTATTTTTATGCAAGTCAAAATAAATTATTTTTCTAGCCACACTAGTTATTATTCTTATAAGACATTATATTAACTAATCTATTTTTAATGAATAGGTTCAAAAATATAATCTTACTGTTGTATTACTTATATTAAAATATTTATGTAAAAATAGTGATTTTTTTGCGTTCATCTGTTGTTTCGATTCGAATATATATATATATATATATATATATATATATATATATATATATATATATATATATATATATATGCGTGTGAGGAGAAACAAAAAAAAAAAAAAAAAAAGTTGTGAGTGTAGTTTGGTGGTGGAGAGTTAATCTTAGGACTTGGTCAGAGCAGTCGCCTTCCGATTCCCATATCTCTGTCTTGTCATCTGCTGCCGTCTTTTCCCTAAACTCCAATTTCTCTCTCTTTCCACAATTTTCCATCCTCTCTTCTCTCTCCGATTCATTGTTGTAACAAGTAGGTTTTCCAATTCTTTCATTTTTTTTCATTCGATTCTCTTCTTTGTTTTTCATTGTTCAACCGTATTAACTAACAGTAGAGGCCCCCATCGATTCTCTTCTTTGGGTTTTACTCCACAGACTCTTTGTTGTTCATGTGATTTCACTGTCGTGTAAAATTATTTTCTTATAGGTTCGATTTTCGAAGAAATCGATGATCAGAAAGCTGTCACCTAACTTGATTCTGTTTCTTAAGGACTTGGGATCCTGTTTATGACTACAATTTTGTCAATTGTTGTTGTTGACTCGTCTTTTTTGGGTTCCTTTTGTGCAGGATCAAGAATAGCTGCTTGTTTCCATTGAGTTTGAGTTTGTTCTTGGCCTCTGCTTCCATGCCTTCGATCATGTCACCTCAGTGGCAGGACAAGGCTGCTGGTTTCTTTTCTTCCTCCGGTATCTTTCACTACGTCGCTTCATTTTTCCCTTTCTTATTTACCTTGTTCTTACTTGTAGATGAAGTATAACATAAAATCAACTTTTGTAAAAATTATATAAGAGATTTTCTATAGATTAACTTATCCATAAGCTAATTTTAATTTGTGAAAGCAGTTTGATTCATTTTATTTTTTTATTTTCTTTTCCTATTATTGAGAGTTTTATCTGATTTAAGCCTTTCTGGTCTCTGATTGTTCATATATGAGTTGATGTAGGGGTCAAGCTTAAAGAAGCCAAGGAATCAGCAGGAACATTTGTTGGTGAGGTCACCAAGGATACAAAGAGTAATGTGGCTGAAGTGGCTGGACGAGTGGGGTCAATGGTCAAGAGTCGGTGGGCACTTCTTCAGCAGCCATCCACAAGACATGCTGTGCAGGACCGCTTGATATCAGCGGCTGCTACAACTGGCACACTCCTGAGGAGAGGCTTCTCAGGGACAAAGGATAAGGTGGTTGTGGGAAAGTCCAAGGTTGAAGAGGTAATTTTGTTGAGTAAGATTTGACATTGTTGTGGGTAACATTTTAGAAAGGGATAAATGCATAGTTTTGTTCTCGCAGTTTTGAAAACAATAAACAGAATGAGCACAATTTGGAAATTTAGTAAATGCGAGTAAAAGTATATAAAAAATGAAGACAAAAAAAGTCTTATTAGGGGGATTTTATTTTAGTATGACGCCTAATCCCTTCCTTTTGGGTAAAAGGGATGCCTTATCCAAAGTGATTTTGAATTATATAATTCTTTCAAATGGATGTTGGATAACTTGTGTTCTGGTTGTAGATTGTTCTAAGCTGTTATTCCGAACTTGGTATTAATCAAATGAATTTTTCTAATTTTTGTCTTGTTTTTCTCTCTTCTATCCTTTCTCTCTTTAAATATCTTACTTGCTAGTATTTTCACTGCACCAGCTTGCTGCTCATAATAATTTCTTTCTTCTCTCTCTGATTTACTATCATGTTTATTTATTTCAGGTGGCAAAAATAACAGCACAAAAAAGTAAGACTATCTTGACAGATATTGAAAGATGGCAAAAGGTAAATAACATTGGGCTAACTTTGACCTATTTTTTTACTGTATACATAATTTTCAACCATTCTTACTATAATTTTCTTTTGCAGGGAGTAGCAAGCACTGATGGTAAGTTCCCAAACCACATGATGGAAAATGAGAGCTGTTTTTCTCATGCATCACAGTCTTCTGTTGGCTATGTAGAATTAGTTCCATTATTCCCACATGGCATCTTGGGATGAATTCCATTTTGATGCTTTTTCAGTAACACTTTTGATTATTAAGTCATATAGAAGTAAATCATTCTTTGTTTCTGTGTATGTTTTTACTTTATATTTAAAATTTGTTGCTTTACTAGTGCCTGCATAATGGTGGTTAATAATTAACTTATCTTGATCCCAGTATTTGGAGTTCCAATTGAGGTTACTGTGCAGAGGCAAGATTACTGCAAACCTATTCCTCAGATATTGGTCAATTGTGCAGATTATCTTATAGTTTCAGGTATCTATTTCTAGAGTAAGACTGCACCTTCATGGAACAGTTTTTATTTTTTATTTTTATTTTATGTTTGCTTTTGATCCAATAATAATTTCATTGTTTTCATTTAAAGCAGGATTGAATTTGCCATATCTTTTTAAATCTGAAGGGAATAAAAAGGTTATTCACCAGTTGGTTTCCCTATACAACCAAGGTATTTCAATCATTCTTTCAGTAATGGGTATGTTTGAGTTATAATATTTGGATGATGTTATGCATGCTACTATTTTGTGCATTGTAGATTCTACTGCTTCGGTGCCAGAAGGAACGAATCCTGTTGATGTAGCAGCTCTAGTCAAATATTACTTTGCTAGCCTTCCCGAGCCACTTACCACATTAGAGCTTTATAATGAAATTAGAGGTGCTCGGTCCAGTATATATTCCATGAGAAACATACTCAAGAGGCTTTCCAGTGTAAACTACATGACTCTAGAGTTTATAACAGCACTTCTACTCCGTGTTAGCCAGAAGGCACTTCTCAACAAGGTAGGAAACTTGTCTAGATGTGTGTGTTTGTTTAGTTTAAGCTGGGATGGGTCGGAGACTAGGTTACATATGTCGGTGAGCACCTATATTGGTTTATTGAATAGGAACTGTGTGGTGGAATCTCTTCCCATGTTTTCTTTCATCTGAGATGGATTGTCTCTCCTATAATAAATAATTTTCACATTTGCTTTGCTATGCAAATATCTTTCAAAACATATAGGGAAAAGGAATTGAATCTATGCAATTTTTTTTTGTTATCTCCATTATCATTTCAAGTTGTTTGTTTCCTTCATTTTGTCTCCATATGTTAAACCTTATATTTAACTAAACACTACTGCTGTTGACAGTTGAAAGGCCTTTTCTAACTCTTTCAAAGTTTTTTTTAATTATTATTATTATTAGCAGTTTCTGACTCTCATTTTTTATTTTCTAAAATTTGTGTTTAGACATGAACTTACCTACAAATCTTATTCATGATCTTCTTAAGCTTGGTTTTTTATTTTATTGTTTGATCAATATATTTTCATGTTGTAATTGGAGCACCCTGTTGTGCAATACAATTATATTTTGTTTGATCAAAATATTGTTCATGGGCTAAATGGAGCACACTGTTGTCCAATATATTTATAGTGGAACAAGAGTAATCATAACAAAACTGGAAAGAAAAAAGATGAAAAAGAATTTTTTGCAAAATTCTCCTATTGTAATATTTTTTCTTATTTCAATATTATTTTCTTCTCTTAATGTAAAAGTAGAAGGGAACATCACTATTTCCCAGGTGCATATCTTGCTTGATTTGTTATGATCAGCTGCTTTCTTCAGTCCCTGTATTATGATCATCAATTTTCTTTACTACTTTTGGTTTCCCATCACTTGGGTGACCCTAAGAACAATCACACAGGCATTACTTGTTTGTTACTGCATAAAACTGGATTTGAGTACCATACTGAAGATTGTTGATGTTTTCCAGATGGATGCACGGAGCCTAGCTATGGAAATGGCACCTGTTATTATGTGGCAAAAGGAAAGGAGACCTGAATTTTATCGTCAATATTGGAATCAGTTGTCAAAAAATCCTTCCGAAAAGATTGTGGATACAACACCTGGTTCATATACTGCCTGGGACATGCTTGCTGGTAGGCAAAGCTATACTAAAACATTTAAATATTTTCTAAGATAACCAAGTTGACTTAAATTATTTATCATTGACCATGGCCGAAAGGGTAATGACCACGTGGGGGCATGTGAGAAGGGAATTTATCACATGAATTGGTAGGGTTCTTGATGAACTAAACTTCGAAGCTATGCTTTTTCTAGATGATAGTAATGGAGGAGAGAAGAATGATACAATTAACGTTAGACAGAAATTTAACAATGCTTCTGAATTGTAAGCTACTGTGTAAATTGTGATCATTATACTTATGAATTAATAAGAAAGGATCAATGTCTCTTTATTTATCAATATTCTACATCTATATAGGGTTATGTTCAACATTTTTCTTATAGGGTTGACACTGATTTCTGCTGTTTTGTTGACAGTTTGGTTAAGTAAATCAATATTATAGACACAAGTCAATTACAACTAAAATTAACTGATTCTAACATCATCTAGGGATTATCTTTCTATGTTGTGAAGCTGAACATTTAAACATTTGCTTTGAGGTTGTATTTTCTAGATCCTCTATTGACATTGTATTCAACTCACTAGTCACTTGCAGTGTTTTCTTGGAGGGTGCCAAATTCCGTTTAAGAGTTTATTATCTTCTGTTGACCTAAACTTTGGCTGCAAAAATTAATGCAGATTATAGACTTATCATATTAGTACTGATTGGAGATTGTCATTTCTTTTCTTTGTTTCATGTGCTGCAGATGATGACGAAGCCATAGATGCATCATCTCCTATTCCTTTGGATGATGGCGCGCCAATAGACTTTGGTGCAATTGAGGTTATTCAGTTGCTCATAGAGCATCATAATGCAATCTTCACCGACGCAAATGAGACAGTCTGGAAATGAATTGCTTCACCATTTGTGTATTTATTGGCTGACTTGGATACAATGGTCTTGGAATAATTTTTTTCCCCAATCTGGTCAAGAAGATCATTATTAACAAGCTATTTTTGAAGTTATCCATAATCATCAAGCTGCAGAAAGATGTTGGATATTACTGGTCCAGTTTCAGTGATATGGGTATCTGTTTTTCGGTGTAATTTGCATTTAGGGAGTGACCGTTTTACTTAATGAGAAATGCTAGTAAGACTTGATATAACACTCTTCCTAATACACACTCCATGATTGGTTAAAATTTGTTTACAAAATTATGAAAGAGAATCAATAAATGGGTAGTTGGACCCATCGATGCCCATAAAATCCAGTCAATAGTAGTGTGTTCGAAAGAGTGTGTTAGAAATTCTGTAAGTATTTGTCTTCATATATGGGGTAAGAGTGGCAAACTTATTGTACAGCCATAATTGCAAATAATTTTATCACTCGTGCTCTGTTATTGTGGTCTTTTGCTTGGATTGATGATATGTGATCTTTGTTTATAATTTTCTTACAGAATCGTGTATTCATATTTGGTACATTGTAGTACAATGGATCATTTAAATATTCTGATTATTAGAATGCTGCGAAAGGGGTGGAGTAAGTTTGATTTGAGTAGCTACGGAAGTAGATGCCATGATTTCTATACTAGAGGATAGTTAAAAGCTATCCTGTTCGTATTGCAACTCAATAGGACGTAGTATAAAAAGAAATAATTCTGAAGAATGTTGCAGGTTATGTGTGGTATAGGTACAGAAAAAATTCTATTTGCTTTCTGTTTTTTTTTTTTCTGGTTTATAAAATGAAAGTATCTACAAAATATAATAAAATAGGAAACACTAAAATGTGCAAGTATTACGTTCCTGGACTTATTAGATATTGTGCAGCTTGAGTTTTTCTTTGATCAAATCAAGTATTAAGTTCATACATTGGCAAACATCTGGCATTGGATGGATGGTACATGTAAAACAGGAGGAAAACGATTACAGGGCATATAGCAGTTAGCACTGCAATTAAAAGATAACAGTTTATTGTTGTGTTGAGGTTGGAACATGCTCAAAATATTCAAAAATCTCATTTGAGAAGTCCTTAAATAATCCATTTGAACTTGTAATTTGAGAATTTCCCTCGAATCCAAGAGTTGGCAACCCGGTCCCAAGCTCTGAACATTTCTTCTCCTCGAACTCAACAATAAAATTTGGATCAAAGGACTCTGCAACAAGGTCCTGGCACTGTGGGAATAGTGGAAAGTCGATTAGTGGCTCAGGGAGTAGAGGGAAGTGGTACCCTGACGAAGACTCAAACGATGGCACTGCGTGAAGTGGGGTGGCCTCAACCTCGACTGCACTCAAGTAATCATTTTCTATCTCTTGATAGTTTGGCTTTATCAAATCTGGTAGGTTGATCATCTCGAACACCTCGGTGTTTCCCATGTAGGAAGTAGGGTAAGAAAGGTTTGCCTCCACCTGATTGGAACTGCATGGAGGAACCTGAAATAGATACATATTTGATCTCCCAATTCATGAATTTCTGATGTTTTATGTATTAAATCAAGCATTTTATAAAAGATATTAAAACCTTGCTATTGTAAAATTGTTGACATATCTAAGTATGTGAATGTGATACAACATTTTTCTCTTTCCTATTATCGTATCAAAGCATCCAACACAACAAAATGTATAATAATAATAATAATAATAATATAAGGCAAAACCAGCATACTGAACAAGAGGTGCAGATACGTGCCAACAGCCACGAAAGTACAAAATCTTTTCTCCATTACATTTATCCGATCTTCATCTAATGGTGTCACAAAACCTTGAATGTGTGTAATTTGTGACCACTTTAGTAGTAAAGACTATCCTAAACCTAGGAGGGTCTAATAACACTGCATAGATACTCATGAATCTCGTACATACCTTATCCACTGGCACTTGAGTAAGAGGAGGTTTTTCCTCGTTTCTGTGCGGCTTTAACGTTGGTGGCTTCTGCAACATCCTCTCCAACCTCTTTCTCCTACTGCTCCAGAAGTTTTTCACATCATTGTCCGTTCTCCCTGGCAAATACGTTGCAATTTTGGCCCATTTGTTCCCAAACTCTTCCTGTAATTCTATCACCAATCTCTCTTCTTCTGCTGTAAACTTGGATCCACTACACATTCCAAACATTCCTCATAAAACAAAACAATCAAATTTTGTACATCATCGTCGGATAAGACAAGAAAGAAGTCATGCATGTTTACTACTTGGCATACATAGACACAAAAGGGTGTGTGAGAGAGATAGAAGTAGAGTTACGTCTTCAAGTTTGGTCTAAGTTTGTTAACCCATCTAAGGCGACAGGATTTTCCTGTTCGTGGCAACAAGCCTTTGGATCGAATGGAGCTCCACTCCCTTGGACCACACTTGCTCACGTGTCTCAGCAGCACTTCATCTTCCTCACTACTCCATGGCCCCTTCTTCACGTACCCTCTCTGCAACTCTCTTTCCATCTCAATGTGCTTCTTCCTCAATCTTTCAACGCTTTTTTATTATTTATCAAAATGTTTCAAATTTGCTCCTCTGTGGTTACACCCCTCCTACGTCATGCACTTGTTAACTTAAGATGTTTTGTTTTGTGACGTGGCAGTAGGTGACTGGAGATGCGTTTTGGTGGCGTAGGTGATCGCAATGCAGAGGATTGGTGCTCCCCCCACTTTGCTATTGCAACGGTTTTGACGGTTAGTGGGGAACATGCGCAACCCGCCATTTCCAATTATGTTTTTTATTTCAAACTATCGGAAAGATTATATGATATGTTGTTTATTGAGTTAACAATTTCATGTTTATATATTAATTTTGCTTAATTAATCCATTTGTTTGTGTGTTTAAAATCCTTTTATTTTAGTTCACATTATCTACTTGTCTAATTTAATTATTTTGATGAAAAATCTTTCTAAGACATAACAAATCATTTATGTAAATTTGATAATAATAATGATAGTATGATATAATAATATTTATAACAACGGTAATATATGCAATCACATCATGTTAACTGTAAGAATAGAGAACATTATTATGAAAATAGTAAAAAGGAGTAATTTTAAAATAAATATTAAATTTCAACATCTTTTTTTTTTTTTTCTTTTGAAAACTAAAAATTTATAACCAAGCAATACAAAGGGGACTTGGACACTAATATCTTAAAATCTTAAATCTTAAATTTTAAAATGATAAAAATATTTTGTATATTTTTAAATTTTGTGTATATATATTTTTGTGATTCTGCACCTCCTTTCTTCTTCTATGGTGTAGGGTAGAGACACCAATTTTGTGTAAATTTTACTTGGAGGTAAAGTCAATAAAAAGTGAGTGGTTTGAAAAAATGGACGTGGAAAATAAATAGTAATTGTTTTAATTCAAAGATCCTACGATGTTATAGAAAGAGGAAATTGTAACAAAGAATAATAATTGCAATGATCATAATTGTAAGGATCATAATTTGTAACCCAAACATAATACATGTAACAATCTCGGATGTGTAATAAAAAAAGTTGTGCAAGAAGTACTTGATGCATCCATCCAAAAATTCATGGGATGAATATATTTGGAAGCTTATTTTTGTTTTATCAACCATTATCCTAAATCCCTTAATCTAGAAAACTTATGGATTCACTATTATGAATTTTTTTTATAATAATTATGAATTTATTAATTTAAAAGTTTTTGGATTCATCTTTCTGGAAACTAAAAAATATTTTTTTTATATATTCCATATCATTTAATCCACAACTTAACAAATATATTATTATTTTGAATCTATTTTTCTAAAAACTTTTTAGAACGAGTTTTTTTAGAAATATTTTGAATGACCTTTCTACAAATTTTACGAAATCAATTTTTTAGAATATTTTTAAAAAGTTGATTCCAGAACGCTTCCAAAAAAAACAATCTAAAATATTTTTTAAAAACTCATTTTGAAAGAGTAAATCCATTGAAGAAAATATTATCTTTTTTAAATGAATATAAAATACTGGAAAAAAAACACGGCAGATATATTTGAACCATCATTTTGCTTAAGCTAATTCATTGTAATGTAAGGTTATTTATTTATTTTAAAATGCATAAAAAATGTTTAAATTCTTGTAAATTCGTAACAAAAATAATTTTGTTAAGCATTTTCAACATCATTCACAAAATAGCCCAATTAACCTACCACTTTTCCTTATAATAGAAGCAAAAGAGTGATTGATCATTTCTTGTAGATATCTCTACTTGGCCTAAACCTAACTTCGAAGGTGACTAACTACAGCATTTATATTAATATTAATTCTAACCTATCATCTTACACTCACTCACACACGTGAAATTAATAGTAATTTTTATTTTGTAATCTTAACATTTTGTTATTTAGCAATCTAATTTAAAATAAACTCCAATGAAATGTGAAAATAGATGAATGTATATACACAAGAGGCAAGTCCAAGTCCAAGTACATTAATAATAATAGGATGTGTAACATGAAAATCCAGATTAAGCAAATGTAACATTAAGTCCAAATTCAAGTCCTAATACACAAATATATTGACAGGGTGAGCCATTGCTGAGACAAACAAAAAGCATTTTTCTCACCACATCACATCCTTCTACATGCTATCAAGCATCAATACAAGAAAAGTTTTGTTTGCTTTTATTTCCATTTCATTTTCATAAAAACAAAATCCCGTTTTTACAACCCTAATACTTGAAACCTATGTCTGTTTTCCATAGAGCAAGCTGAAAAATATTTCAAATTTTTAATAAAATTTTCATTGAAATTCATCTCTATTTTTCTCTTCTTTCATCAAAAGTTAGGTAGCAATCATGAGTGGAGTATAAGCTTTATTTATGATTAATTATATGATTTAATTTTGACATACCAATTAATTAAAATTATGATCTAAACATTTGCTAAAGGAGATACCTATGTGCAGTGTAGAACTTTGGCCCTCGCGACACATCTATTTTCAAACTTTGCAATCTAACAAGACAAAATCCCCTACACAACACAACAGAACTATTGAAATTCCACACCAACCTTTGAACCTTTGACAGAAAAGGACCATTGGATTTAGACCTGCATTAGTAAGAGTAAAATAAAGTTTCAGAAGTTAAATTATGACGCAATAGATGATGCTCCAAGGCCCTCCAACTAGCTATGAAACACCGACTCCGACACGGACAATCGAGACACGACACGACACGGATACGGGAAACTTCTAAAATATAGGACACCGGGACACCTTATATATATTAGACATGAATAAAAATTTAAATATGATTCAAATGAGAAATATATAAATTAAAAATTAAGATTTGTTCATTCATCTTCTCAAGACAAAGTTGTTAGATTTTATAATTTTCATATGATATCCTAACCAAAAAATACTAAGAACTACTATTTCACAATATAAAAACTTTGTCTTTTTAAAAAAAGAAAGTCTCAAAATAAGAAGATGAATCAAATCTATTAAAGACAGTGGTCTTCATGATCATCATCATTGAAAAATACACTCTCTAACTCTGGTTCATCAAGTGATAAATTAGCAACTTCAATCATTCCACTCTCATCTAGTGATCCAAATGCATCTCCTGCTATGTCCCACATTTTTGTTTCCTCTTGGTTATATTGTGGAGAATTCCTTGAAAGAAGACGGAGGTTGCTATGAACAAATACTAGATCTTCTGCCCTATATGGTGTCATCTTGTTTCTTTTCATAGAATGAATAAAAGAGTAAGTGCTCCGATTTCCTTCACAACATGAAGAAGAGCATGGTTGCCCAAGTAGCACACAACAGAGGAAAACTGGAAGGAAAAAAGGAAAGCTTTGGTGCAGAAATGGAAAGATGCAGAGGAAGGAAGGAAGAAAGGAAGTATACGTGAAGAAAGGAAGTATACGTGCAGAGGAAGGAAGAAAAGCGGGAGAAAAAAGTAAATAGAAAAAATTCAATTTTTTTTTTATAAAAGTTGTACCCGAGTCGGAGCCGTGTCTGACACCATGTCAGATTTAGGTCACGCCGTGTCCACATGAATCGAAGCCTCGCGACGCGTTTTTGGTGTAGGGGACACTGCAAAAAAGAGTCGGACACGCTTCCGCGAAGTGTCGTGGTGGTGTCGGTGTCCCAAACGTCCGCGACACTCCGACACGGATGAGGGGAGCCGTGTCGGTGCTTCACAGCCAACTAGTATAAAAAGAGAGGATTGGTTGTGTTATTCATGAGCAAGTAAAACACTATGAGTAGCAGAGTTCCTTAAGCTCCTTAGTGTTGTTCTGTGTAGTTGCAGCACTAGCTCTATCTCCTTAAGGGCTTGCTGACTATGTGAAGACCCCAATACAAAAATCATCCATTCACAAGCCCCCACCCTTTCATAAATCCCCACCATATAGTAAGCCTCCTCTGAACGAAGGTCAATATGTGAAGCCTCTTCCAGTTCACAAGCCACCACATGGTAAACCTCAAGTGAATGAGGTTCAATATGTTAAGCCTCCACCAGTTCATAAACCATGACATGGTAAACCTCCTGTGAATGAGGCTTTATGTTAAACCCCCTCCAGTTCACAAGCCACCCTATGGTAAGCCTATTGTAAAACTTAAATTAGACGTTTAATATTCCTAAAATAATATTAATGGTTTTAATTATGAGTGGTATAACCAATGGGTTGTAAACCTATTTAATAGGTATCATGATTTACTTTTGGCATTTGAAGAGACAAATATTTTGGTCATAAATACTTGTAACAACTCATTTGAAATAGCATCAGGAGAAATATTGAGAGTGTTGTTTCGTTTTCCTGTTACCAATAAATTGACATTAGAGCTTGTGTGTGAGGTGAGCGTGAGAGAACCCACCAAGCCTCAAGAGAGAACGCCGCAGTGTGTGCTGTCTGAGAAAGAGAGAGGAGCGACTCAAAGCTTTGTGAGGTGTGTGAGTTGAGTGCAAACACTTGAGAGAAAATGACAGGTCTAACCAATAGCATCCCGCTATCCAAGTTGACGAAAGGCGCCAACTATAACAACTGGAAGGTACAAATGAAGGCTATTCTCGGCTCTCAAGATAACTGGGATGTGGTCGAGAATGGGTATGAGGAACCCGCGAACACAGATGGGTATTCAAATGCCCAACTGAACGCATTGAAGGTCGTTCGAGCTAAAGACAAGGCGGCTCTGTATCTACTATACCGAGCCGTCGACGAATCCGTCTTTGAGAAGATAGCTAACGCAAAATCTTCCAAAGTAGCATGGGATACACTTGAAAAAGCAAACAAAGGAGATGAACGGGGGAAACAAGTTCGACTTCAAACCCTTAAGGGCGAGCTGGAAAACATGAGGATGAAAGAACATGAAAGCGTATCCGAGTTCATTACTCGGGTGGAGACCGTGGTGAACAAGCTGAATCAGAATGGTGAGAGTCTTTCATCAAACCGAGTTGTTGAAAAAATTTTGAGATCATTGACAGATGATTTCGAGAACATCGTGTGCGCAATAGAGGAGTCCAATGATCTGTCAACGCTCACCCTTGAAGAGCTTGCTGGGTCCCTAGAAGCGCATGAGTAGAGAAGGAAAAACAAGAAGGGGGAGTTCCTTGAACAGGCTCTCCAGGAAAAGGCGACAATAAAAGAGGAGAATGTGCTCTATGCTCAAAGTACCAGAGACCGAGGAAAAGGCAGAGACTGTGGTGGTAGAGGAAAAGGAGGACGAGGAAATGAGCAAGACGGTCAACAGAACTGACGTGGCTAAGGACAAGCTCGGGGTGGCCGGACAAACACAAACAATATTGAATGCTATAATTGTGGGAAGAATGGACATATTGTCAAGGATTGTTACTTGGTAAAATGCTATAATTGTGAAAAGAATGAGCATGTTGCCAAGGACTATTACTCCGTAAAATGTTATAATTGTGGAAAACTGGGTCATATTTCCAAAGATTGTAGGTCCGAGAAGAAAAAGGAGGAACCAACAAACTTTCTTGCTGAGGAAGAAGATGAAGGATTGCTAATAGTGACAAACATTTCAGAAACTGAGGTCAAACCGAACTGTTCTAATAACTCAGTTTGGTACTTGGACACCGGCGGTAGTAACCACATGTGTGGTGACGAGCGCTTATTCAAAATACTTTCAAAGGTGGAGTTTGAATCTGTTTCTTTCGGTGATGCTTCGAAAGTATTTGTCAAAGGTCAATGAACGATATGATATCAACAAAGAAATGGGCAAATCGGAGAGATCAGAGATGTATATATACTATGTACCTGATCTCAAAAGCAACATATTGAGCATGAGACAGTTAATGGAGAAGGGGTACTCAGTTCTGATGAAGGACCAAGAACTACAACTGAAGGATAAATTCGTGAGGCTTATTGCTTTGGTGGAAATGAAGAAAATTGCATGTACAAACTTGAGCTAAAAATAGTTCAAGATAAATGCATGCAACTTGATATGGAGGATGAGGCCATGAAGTGGCATTTTCGGTTTGGTCATCTTCACTTCGGTGGGTTGACTGCGTTGGTGAAAGAGGAGATGGTGCTCGGAATGCCTAAAATGAAATTCGAAAAAAGGTTCTGTGAAGAATTTGTGATTGGGAAGCAAACGATGACTTCTTTCCTAAGAAGTTCTAAGTGTCGAGTAAAGCAGCAACTCAGACTGATCCATATTGATTTGTGTGGGCCAATAACTCCAGAATCTTTCAGTGGTAAGAGATACTTCGTCTCTTTCATTGATGATTTCTCAAGGAAAACATGGGTTTATTTTCTGAAGGAGAAGTCAGAAGTGTTTGAAACTTTCAAGAAATTCAAAGTGATGGTGGAGAAAGAAACAAGCAAAGTCATCAAAGCAATCCGATCTGACAGAGGAGGCGAGTTCACTTCTACTGAGTTCAACAAATATTGTGAGGAACATGAGATCAAATGTTTCCTGACTGCCCCATATTCTTCACAACAAAACGGTGTAGCGGAACGAAAGAACCGAACCATTCTTGATATGGTTCAATCTATGTTGAAAGGGAAGAATATGCCAAAGAAGTTTTGGGCAGAGGCGGTGCAGTGTGCAATCTATTTGCAAAATAGATGTCCACATGCAAAGCTAGGTGAGAAGACGCCTCAGGAGATATGGAGTGGTATGAAGCCGAGTGTCTCTCATCTGAAGGTGTTTGTTAGCGTGACCTATGGGCAAGTACCAAGTCCACACAGGACTAAATTAGAAGATCTGAGTAAGAAATACGTATTTATCGGGTATGATGGAAAATCTAAAGCGTATAAATTGTTTGATCCTGTTAACAATAAAGTGGTGGTAAACCAAGATGTTCACGTGGAAGAAACAAAGCATTGGCGACATATTCACCAAACCACTGTCAACTACACTGCTGGAGAGTTGTAAAAGGCTTATTGGAATAAGAGATGGGAAAAATATTTAAGTTTAAGGGGGAGATTTATTGTAAAACTTAAATTAGACGTTTAATATTCCTAGAATAATATTAATAATTTTATAATTACGAGTGGTATAACTAATGTGTTGTAAACGTATTTAATATGTATCATGATTTACTTTTAGTATTTGGAGAGACAAATATTTTGACCGTAAATACTTATAAACTCATTTAGAATAGCATCAATACTGAGAATATTGTTTGGTTTTCCTGTTACCAACAAAGCCTCCTCTAAACGCGCTTAATCTGTGAACCTCTTCCAATTCACAAGCCACCTCATCCAAACTCCTTCTGATACTTGTTTCTGATTTTCAACTTAATCGTGTTAAATAAGAGATGTTGTGATGCTCAGAATGAAGTTCAGTTTACAAATGTTCTTTGGTTTCTTCATTGAGGCCAATAGTATTTATCATGGATGCATGAATCATATATATGTAAAACGGAAAAAGGAAGATGGTGCTTCTATATACTCCACGTTATGAATAGAAGTACTTTATGATTTGGATATAAATTGTCTTGGTTGATGAAGGATGTTATTAATTATTCTTAAATTATTTACGTCAAAGATATTGCCATACTCGAGGTACATATATAATTAGAGAAAGAAGAAGATTGTGTATCATAAATTGTCACTGCATGGAAATAACTTTAAAGACAGTTTCTTATATCGACATTAAATTTAAATCAATTCTGCACCATGCATATTTTTCTCTTTCACTTCTTTTAAAATAACTTTAAATATGATTATCTAGTTCACCTATTTAAATAAATATGATTAAGCTTTTATTTATATTTTTATAATTATTAAATTGTATATTTATTTACCATTTTCAATATTAAGCATTCAACTTATATATAATTAATAAGATAAGAACAAATGTTTATTTTTTTTAAATCTTAATATAAAATAAGCTTCTAATTAATTAACATATAAAGATAATATTAGAGCTCAAAAATAAATTTGAACCATATAAACAACCACTTATGATGTCTTGCTCTTGAATATACTAGTGATTTTAATTTTCATAAATTTTTATTTTACTTTACAAGTTGTTTTTTATTGCCCCAGTTTAATTTATTATTCTTTTTTTCTTGTTTCAGATTTCTATAGGTCATGAAGCATCTTAATTTTAGTTTTCTTTATTATCACACGTAATAGCAATATTATCATAGATTTCGGAGTCTTGTTATGTCTTCTAGAGTTGTTAAAGACACAACATCATGGAATCCATACACACAAAAATCACAGAAATCTAGAATCGCAAATTAATGAAAGAGATGCAGCATCCTCGTAGGAAACAACCTCGTCCAACCCTCACTATTGTCATTATCGATCAACTTTCAGTTCATCAAATTACGCGGCCTCAGGAGCGTCATCAGACTCTGTGCCTCAGTTCATCAAACACATATTTAGAAAATAGCATTTTTATCATATTTCATATACATTTAAACACGACATTTGTTAGACACTTCTTCAACACACGATTCATATTCCTCAGCCGTCACATACTTAGTCTTCGCATCATCATGATTAAAAAATAAATGAACTCATACTTAAAATCTTTTAACTAAATATTATCGTAATGAATTAGAAGAAAACAACTTATATTGTAAATAATACAAACTCATAACATTTTAAAATATTTTTTCCATGTAATTCAACTAGTTATTATAATATACTTTTTCATTATTAAAATGCTATTACGAGCGATTTTAAACTAAGAAAATAGTAACAAATGTTTATATTGTGTTTTTATGATGTTAATTATATTAAAATATGAATGAATGACACCAACAAGTTTTCCTATTTTATATTTTGGATATTAGTATGTTTCATGTCAATTTTGTACATTTTGTTCGTGTCAGAGGTATTAGTTACTAAATCTCCTTCTATCGTAGAAATCCATGAGGACCTTATAAATATGTTAATGAGAAATAATGTTATCCAGTCTCCAGTGAGACTACTTCAACTATTGGAGGAGGTTACGAGAGATGATAGTGACCAAGTTACCAAATCTCATCAATACGAAATCAAGAAAAATTGTGTGTTCATCCTTGCAATTATTGTCTTATTAAAAGTAGGATTTTTATT